ACCCATGGCACCACTTGGTGGTACCACTACAGCAACATTCTGATAGCAGGAAATGATAGTCCTAGGGGCCCTCTACATTGCCCCAGTAATGATTTGAAGCACACTTCAAAGATAAAGGGTATATTAACTGACCTTTAACCCGTATATTAAAACACAAAGTGAAAAACAACAAAGTTCAGGTTAGCTTACTGGCTCTCTTTCTTTAACAGGACCCTTCGAAAACCTGGCAAGTGGTTCTCCCTAAGGTCCTCAACCTTTCACTAGTGTTACTTTGTTCTAGTAGCCAAAGATGCTTTCAAAATGAATGCTTGAAATACGTGCCCCACCCATGGCACCACTTGGTGGTACCACTACAGCAACATTCTGATAGCGGGAAATGATAGTCCTAGGGGCCCTCTACCTTGCCTTAGTAATGATTTGAAGCACACTTCAAAGATAAGGGGTGTAATTGCTGTCCCTTAACCCGAATATTAAAACAAAAAGTGAAAAACAACAAATTTCAGGTTAGCTTACTGGCCCTTTCTCTTTGTCGGGACCCTTCAGAAACCTGGCAAGTTGTTCTCTCTAAGGTCCTTAACCTTTCACTAGTGTTACTTTGTTCTAGTAGCCAAAGATGCTTTCAAAATGAATGCTTGAAATACGTGCCCCACCCATGGCACCACTTGGTGGTACCACTACAGCAACATTCTGATAGCGGGAAATGATAGTCCTAGGGACCCTCTACCTTGCCCCAATAATGATTTGAAGCACACTTCAAAGATAAGAGGTATAATAGCTGACCTTTAACCCGTATATTAAAACACAAAGTGAAAAACAACAAATTTCAGGTTAGCTTACTGGCCCCTTCCTTTCCTAGGGACACTTCCAAAACCTGGCAAGTGGTTCTCCCTAAGGTCCTCAACCTTTCACTAGTGTTACTTTGTTCTAGTAGTCAAAGATGCTTTCAAAATGAATGCTTGAAATACGTGCCCCACCCATGGCACCACTTGGTGGTACCACTACAGCAACATTCTGATAGCGGGAAATGATAGTCCTAGGGGCCCTCTACCTTGCCCCAGTAATGATTTGAAGCACACTTCAAAGATAAGGGGTATAACATCTGACTTTTAATCTGTATATTAAAACACAAAGTGAAAAACAACAAATTTCAGGTTAGCTTACTGGCCTTTTCTAGTCATTGGAACCTGTCAAAAAGTTGACAAAGGATACTCCCTAAGGCCCTTAACTTTTTTCCAGTTTAGTGTTAGTTTGTTCTAGTGGTCAATGATGGTTGAAAAATGAAAGCATGAAAGATGTTCCCCACCGTTGGCACCACTTGGTGGTGCCGTTACAGCCTCAAACCGATTGCGGGAAAGATAGTCCTAGAAATCTTCTATCTTGCACAGTAATGATTTAAAGCACACTTATAAGATAAGAGGTATAAAAGCTGCTTGAAATATGTAACCCGCCCTTGGCACCACTTGGTGGTACCACTTCAGCCTAAATTTTATGGCCGTATATAATAGCCCTGTGGACCCTTTTACCTTGAGCCAGTAATTGTTCGAAGCACACGTCAAGGATCATAACTTAAAATAGATTAAATTACCTTCAAACCCTTATCAATGTAAATTTTAGGAGTAAGCAAATTTCAGGTTAGCCTCTTGGCACCATCATGTTCCTGAGACCCGTAAAAGAGCCTAAAAGGTATTCTCCCGGAAGTACTTAACCTATCCAATGCTGTTTTATTCTTAAGCGGTCAAAGATGGTGACATTTTCTTCTTTTTGTTTGTTTGTTTGTTTGTTGTGAAACCGCATAATTTTCCTTATGCAGGTGAGCTTAACTGCCTCCAAGTGTTTGAATTATTAATTGATAATTAAGTGTTGCATTAATTATCTAATTATTAATTATAAATTGTCGAAAATGAGGCATTAAACAGTATTGCGTCAGAGTACTCTCAGTCCTTTGATGAATTTCCTTAGTGGCTGCTAGCTTCTACGGGCTTAATGGCTGCTGTTATTGGCTGCTAGCTTCAGTCTAGTTCGACTCCCTCTGCGGGACGTGGAGACCGGTCCTTTGCATGAGACCGTATAAACCGAGGTCCCGTGTAGCAGTAGATGCTGGGACGAAAGAGATCCCTCACTGCTCAATGGCCTTGAGTGTCGAGTATAGGTCTGAATTTGCAGCCCTCCACCGGCAAGTGGTGGCGTTTCCATATGAGTGAAAAATCTCGAGAGGGACGTTAAACAACACACAAACAAACAAACTATTCCACTACGGGACGTGGAGACTGGTCCTTCGGATGAGACCGTATAAACCGAGGTCCCGTGTAGCAGTAGGTGCTGGGATGAAAAAAATCCCTCACTGCTCAATGGCCTTGAGTGTCGAATTTACAGCCTCCACCGGCAAGTGGTGGTTTTTCCATATGAGTGAAAAATCTCGACGGGGACGTTAACACACAAACAAACAAACAATTTCACTACAGAACGTGGAGTATGGTCCTTCGGATGAGGCCGTATAAACCGAGGTCCCGTTTAGCAGTAGGTGCCGGCATGAAAAAAATCCCCCACTGCTCAATGGCCTTGAGTGTCGAGTATAGGTCTGAATTTGCAGCCCTCCACTGGCAAATGCTGGCAGCTCAAGGGACGTTAAACAACAAACAGACAATCAAAAAAACATTTTTGTGTCGCCTGCAGAGCAGAGCAGCACTTAGCGATCACTTAGCGTCTGTCTTGCTGTCCGTCCGTCTGTCACACCTTATATCTCGAGAAATGTAAGAGGTATGTGTTTGATAATTTGCACATATAGCTTGACACTATGGCTTTTGTATTTTTCCATGGCTTCCGACCTAGATATCCTTGAACTTGACCTTTGACCTACTTTTCAAAATAACCAATAATGCCGATATACAACTTCTTTTTGATATTTATGAGGTAAGTCTATGCTATTTAGAATGTGCACTGTTTGTCATAAAACATTTGAAAAATACCAGCGTTACAGTTCACTTGACCTTGACCTTTGACCTATTTTGTAAAATATACTGCGGAGGGTTAAATTTAACTTATGTCTTTTGAAATTACAGAGGCAGGGTTCAATAATTAACAGTTATACATGATTATGATCTCATGACAATGTATTTTGACACTGTATGAAATAAAGAAACCACAAAAACTGAAATTTAAGTACTATGAAAATACAACGGGATCGGTATTCCAGAATGGATGGTGTAGACTGACAATTGCTGATATGAAAGACTGAAGCCTCTTTCATAGGATTGTTGAAATCACGTACTTAAATAATTTATATGTAATTTTTTTTAGAATAAATTTATTCAAATTTCATTAATATCCATTTTAGCTTTCAGGGGTTAAGGATTTGCATTTCTATTTGATTGTTAGATTCTATCGCAGTCTTACTATCCCTGGATTGTTTTGTTTTGTTTTGTTTTGTTTTGGCATGAACTATATTCAATGCCTTAGCAAATAAATAGCTGATAACTTTTAAACTTAGTTACATCTTTAATGAAGCTAAAAGCAGGCGACACATGCGTTCCTGGGAACACTCTAGTTCTGTAAGAAATCAGCAAAGATAATTAAGCAGAGATTTTTGATGAAATGGGTTTTTTTTAACCTTTTTTTATAACGCTGACTATATATACATGTATGGTCTGCGTTATAAAACATGATGTGATAGGGTAACGTAATGCACCTTGTACACGTACTCAAAGATGCCGACGTTTTTCAATATCGAAATTGGACATAAAACATATATACAATAAAATTTGAAGCCAGCGAGTTAAAAGTAATAAATTACAACTATATGGAAACGAAATGAAAAAAAAACATGTGTAAACTTGTCAAGTTGGAAACACTCAGAATGGGTATTGTTGGTATCATACAGACTGTGTCATGGCCTTGACTCAAGTTCAACGTCACTAAGAACAAGATGCTTTTACTGGATGTGTGGTCTGAAAGAACATGTGTTAACTTGTCAAGTCGGTAACACAGATAGGTTTGCGTCATAACCAGAGTGTGTCATGGCTTGACGCAAGGTCATCTGGGCAAGTTCAAGGTCACGAAATAGAAAGTGTACATTATTTTATTGTCTTTCTACTGGCGAAGCATTGCAAGTTGATAGTCCCTTAAAAGATTATTCATCATCTTAGAATATGGCATGACCTTGACTCAAGGTCACTGCTCCAACGGAAGACCTATTCGTTGCTCTGCAACGAGCTCGGCTCTAGTTTTTTTTATAATTTTGACCGCTGAATATATATAGTCCGTCAGTGCACCCTTTAAAAAAGAAATAGGGCACAATTAAGTGCCTATACATCCAAATCTAATCTATCCACATTAATAGATACAACTTTAACATGTGCTGAAATTTGCATCATGTATATAACAGTATAATACAGGTGCGTAGGATGCATATACGATTTCAATTCGGGGGGGGGGGGGCAATATTAACAGATTAACCGATCGACATGCAAACAAAAAATCCAACAACAAAAAAAAATCATCAGATAATTTTTGTTTGAGTTAAAGAGTATATACATGGACAAGATTGTGATGGGGCACAACTTTAAGTCTAAGCTTTGTTCAATATTGTCGTATAAAAGTATTAAATTACTAATAAGAACGATTTGTAAACAATTCCCGATTTATGTAATCTATGATACAAAATTAATTAGAAATAACGTATTCATCAAATTCTCTCTCAAATAAAAAAACGTCAAAGCTTGAAGGTATTTAAAGATATATATAACAAGAGCTAGTACTTGTTATGAAATGATTCATGATTATGCAACAGTCATGTGAGTGTAGCGTAAGAATACGAAAACTTGTGAAGTCATTTTTTTTACTCTCTCATAGAAAGTTTAAATGTTGAAAAACAAAACAAAAACAAAATAAATGAATAACTTAAGATAAAGAAGGACGCATTTTGCTTTATTATTACGCTAACATGATTATATTATGATCGAACTATTTTTTTCATAAGTATCAAGGGAGATAATTGCAATAAACAACAAAGATGGCGACCGCTGTGGAGAGGAAGCGACACTCGCGGTGTCTTTTTGCTTTTACGTTGTTGGTTTACTTTGAATTGTCACTGGAAATTGACGGTAAAACTACACAGAAAAAGACGCCATATTTAGATTCAGAGCGACTGAAATCAAAATTTGATACCCGAACATTTGTGATTGATTCGGAACTTTTCAGAAGTGAAAATGAATTTGATGCTTATAAGAGTGTTCCAGCAGATCTCAAACTGCGATCCAAAAGGGATGCAGCATCACCAAAGAGTCATTCACCTAGTGCAGTTTCTGTAAGCATACTTAGAAAAAGATGATTATGAAAATAAACACTTCTGTGTTGGTTACAGAATCATTAATGTAAATAACAGAGTCTGCATCTTTTTATAGATCTATCAGCTGTTTATCGATCTGCAATTGGTAATGGTGTCAAAATGATATGGGACAAATGCACTTTCTCGGTGTACTGCATTAATTTTTATAAATGCAACTAAGTGACTGTTGTACGAAATCGCCATGATCATGATGATGCTTGCAGAGTTTTAATGTATGATAACGACAAATTTCACTCTCTAATGGCGTAATGCACTTTTTTGCAGGTAGTCTTTTTCTTCCATATTCACATGATTTAAATATTTATTGCTCCTTCTATAACAGCAGTCTAGCTTTAAATGACTAAGTTTTAAATGTCGGTCTGTTGCACATAGAACTTCCTGGTTAATGTATATATGTTATGGAATCATGCTTGCATGTATCTATGTTTATGCCCCCAGTGGGACCATGATTGGCAAATAAATCTATTCTATTCTGTATAACAAAGATTATGAAAAAAAAAAACCCATAAATGTTTTTCCCTGCAAAATCAGGGATGGAACAGTCACATTAGGTAATCACAAAGTAAACAAATGGCTTATCCGAATGCATTGTAAATTTTCATTGTACATTGTATGTACCTTGTGTAGCATTACACTAATGGTTTAAGCAAGCACTTGAGAAGGCCTCAGGCTATAATTGTTTTAGAAAATAAACGGAACTTAAACAATCAAACAACTTGGGGTGTAAAAATTTTGTATAATAATCTAAAAAATGTATTTTTGTTAATAGATTCTTACAAAATACCTGCACTAGTGGCTTGGATGGGGGTCTGTAAGGCAGATTGATATACAGTAAAACTAGGTTATAGCGAAGTTCTGGGGACCTGCAAATTTACTTCGCGATATCCGTAATTCGTTATATCCATATAACGAATTTCTTAAAGTGTACATAGTGACTTCGCAATATACCATATAGATTTTTTTCATTCAAGTATGACTACCAAATGTATTTAGGGAAGTATAACATACAAAATTTACCTTAGAGATTAGAAGTTTTTGGGTGAATTGGGTTTCAAATATACTTTAAAAAGTTATGTAAGTTCAATATTTTAATTAAAAATGTAGATCTTTCAAAATTTGCTCTAAAAGATGTAAAATTTGTTATGAGTAACTTCTAGGGGACACAAAATTAGTTATCTATAACGGTAAATTAGCTATTATTATATCTGATTTTGTAATATCCGCAAAATTTTACAAGGAATTGTTAAGAATTTTGCTGGGGATTGCAAAAAACTTCACTATAATATCCGTAAATTCACCATATCCCTGTTTGTACTAAACATTCAAGTTTTACTGTAGTTTGGTGAAATATGACATTAGGCAATTCTTTCTTAAACATCATTTAGTATATCTGCCAACAAAAACTTCTAATGCTTTACAGTATCAAAATAGATGTGATGTCACAAATTTAACAATTTAACAATTAAAAATTTAGTTAAAAGTAAGGTGAATATGTTCATTAACTTAGCTGTTTTACAAAAGTACAAGAAAACAGCTCGTACATGTGTGGCAGTCTGAGGCAGGTTTGGTCACAGGTGGCAAGATAGCTCAGTAGTGCCAGAGATTCAGGAGGCCTGGGTTTGAATCCTGGTCTGGTCTGTAACATTTTAGCTGATTACATTTGGTGCCATACCCTGGAAGTGATTGAAGGACCTGCCAGAGAAGAGCCTAAGCCTAGGCTGATGTCTTTGGAGGAGAAGACTATTTAAGGAGGGAGAAATGTGGCAGTCAGGCAGGTTCGATTGCCGATTGCCAGATAGCTCAGTTGGTAGAGTGTCGGTGATTCAGTGGACCTGGGTTCAAGTCCTAGTCTGGTCTGCACATTTAATTTTACTCCGAGCTGGTTACTCATGTATATCAAAATTTATATTTAGGCAACCATTTATTATTGGTGAATAACGTTTTATTTGCCTTTTGTTGGTTTCTGTTCAGTTGTTGTCAGTTTCTTATAATTTGAAGTTCATTGAAGTTCACCAAAATCAAATCATTCAATGATGCAATTTCCTTATTTAATGAACTTAACAGAAAACACATTCTGTATTTGGGATTAATTCCACAGGTTGTAATTTTCAAGCTTTTCTCTCCTCTGACACAATCATGGTTTGATGAATTTGCAGAGTTGGTACAAAATACGTGACCTCCCTTGTCTGTTTCCATTTAATCCATAGTATAGCCAGAACGAAGTGTGACCTAGCGTCCATCAGCGTGATGTATTCACTTCATGAACAATACTCAGGGAGGTTTAAATAAAGTTGTTGGATTTGGTTATTAACTTATGAATTAATTGAAACAAGTGCTGTTAAACAGCTTTGATGATAAACGACAAATGACTTTCCTGTATTGTATATAATTAAGATTGTGTACTTGTACACCCCAAATTCTTCTTTCCAAAGCAAAAACCTCTGGATGATGATAAATATGGTGACAATATCATTCTATATCTACAGCAGGTCTAAAACTTATCCAAGTTATCTTAATAAATATTTTTTATAAAATGCCAAATGTCTCTGTCAGCATGGTCAGTAAAACTCAACTAGAGGTACTGTGAGCACTGAGCTCACTAAATGATACCCCCCGCCTCCCATGTGATAATAATGGCAAAGTCCATGTTTTGCTCTGGGAGACCCGAAATAAGTGTCAGATTAAAAAGTAAAATAGGAGGTGCACAATGGCATTATGTAATAAAGAATCTGTGAAAGTATTATTAAATTTTATTCAGTGGTATAGGAGGAGTTGCGGATAAGAGATGGGTACCCTTCAATATTATAGAAAGAATGACGGTGTCCATGTTTTGCTATGGGAAACCCGAAATATGTGTCCGATCAAAAAGTAAAATAGGAGGTCACAATGGCACTATGTAGCAAAGATTCTGTGAAGGTCTCATTAAATTTCATTCAGTGGTGTAAGAGGAGTTGCTGATAAGAGATGGGTACCCCAAAGCGTAACAGATGGACGTACAGACTGAAGGATGGAGGTACAGACGGACGGAAGGACGGACATCCCAATCGCTATATATCCTCCCACTTTTCCAGTGAGGGGTATAATAAAAACTAATATTTGCAATTTCAATCATCTGTTTCATTAGCTACCAAACATTATGACGCTTTGAATCCAGTGACAAGACACACTTTAATTACTTTTCCCTATCTTTCCAGGTGCAGTTAAATGACAGTCATACACAGATGATTGTCCACTGGGCGGGGGCGGGGTCAGATGTCATCATCGCTCTGTCCCGCAGTAGCCATCCTACAAACAGCTCCACTAGTAACTTATTCATGTCTTATGACTATGGGAAAAGCTTCCAGAACATGAAAGAAAAAATTCTAATACCACAAAAGATGACTCCAATCATACATCATTATTATAACAGCAGAGTGTATAATTCACATGTAAGAAAGCAAGATATTTACAAAAATATTAAAATGGATGAATAAGAATTGAATTTTCAAAAAGCAGGTGTATTCTATGCAAATTATAACTCAACACGTCAAGATCTTATTTACTAAGACAAATAAAGTACATGTCTTAGATGAAATATAATATTATGGATATTAGAATCAAAATGTTCCCATTTCAACCCTTAGAAGTGCAAGCATACATGCGTTATGTATCAAAATACATGTATTTTAATTTAATCTGCATTATCTGAACGACGAAATATCCACCCTCTTTGATCTTGTTAAACAGTTGTGACTATAAATAATATCTTTTTTTAAAAATACAGTGATTTGCATTTTATGAAGTGTTGGGTGAATCTAAAAATTGGCTGCTTGCCAATTTTACCTCAATTTACTACATAGTTAACAATTTTTTTTTTCAAGATATTTTACTTAGGTTAAAGCAAATACCTTTTTTTCACCAATATGATAATAAGATAAGTTAGCTGTGCTAATGGTGCACTTAGATGAAGCAGGATACGAAAACACCTGCATGATGTTATCTCATTTTGTGACTTTTAAAGGCAAAATGTTGTCTTTCTTGTGTGCTGCAAATAATATAATGTACCAGAAATATTTCCTCCTATTTTGTACAGATGTGGAATAGTGCACATCAATACATTGTACCCCATAACATATCATGTTAGAATGCATTAAAACAGAGAGAAATTGTACATATACTGTGTGAAATTATTACTTAAAGTTTGTAAAAAATGTACACTACTTAGATTGCCAAAAGTGGATTTTGGTCATTATAAACATGATAAATGTATATATTTCTATTGTTTAAAATTTTGTATCCATTTAAATTATTGTTTGACCTTTTTTTTTTCAGTACATATTTACAGACATTGTACATAATTATATATTCACCACCCTGAATTACGGGCGGACCTTCACATCACATAGTGTGCCATTCAAACCAACAGATCTGAAGCTGCATGCAAGCGATCCTAACCTGGTTCTGGGGATGGACAAGAATGATACCAGTAAAAAGGTAAAAGGAAGGTCAAAGGACAAAAATAATACTTGTATAAAAGATAGATAGAATATTAAAATACCTTGAATGGTTAGTTAATCACCCCTGCATATTTTTCAGCTAGCATTATTGAAAGTGTCAAATGAGCTTGTGTAGCATATGGAAGTGTTTGATAATTGCCTGTTTGTGTGTAGTGTTTAGTCTACAAACTTTCACTTTGTTGACTTCCTCTCCATAACCAATAGGTCAATATCACTGAAATTTGGCATATGATAAGTCCTTGATTAAAGAGGATTCAAATTCAAATCAATGTCTCAACCATGGAGAGAAAATGTTGACAATATTATGATCAAAAAAGTTGTGTTAATTCCTACCTTCATGTTGAACTGCGGGAAAATATTATTAAAATATATTGTATAAATGAGTGAAATTACAATAGAGAAAAGATGGAATTGTTAATATGTGGATAGATTAGAGCTTGTTGATTAAAAGAAAGTCATATCATATAAGCTAATTTAATATGTCATAAAAATGTTGACTTTCATATAGAGTTGATGTTTGAGAAAGTTTTTAGTGATGATTGGCAGAAGAAATCCTTGTTATAATTTTTTTAATGTGTATTTGACCTCCTGATTATGTTTATTACAGCTTTATTTGTCCCAGAATTTTGGATACACATGGAGAATGATTCAGCAGGGAGTTGTGAATTTTGAATGGTGAGTTTTGGTTACTGCAACAATTTTAAAATATAACTTATGATGAAATTTTTAAAGCATAAAAGAAATATTTGTGTGAAGCATATGAATTCAAAGCATTTTAGGCCTACTCAAAATATGATAATAGAAAAAGTTAAATATTTGGTTGTTTTTAATATAGATAAAATGACCTTGTATCAAACATAATAGTTTTAAATTTGAAAGGGTCAATTACTTTCTGAGCTAACTAAACCTCTGTACACATGATTAATGTTTATTCTGCTCATTAGTAGAATTTAGATTTGTTCTGGTGTATAACTGTATCCTAAAACTTGCCTTTCTTTTGACACCAGGGGAGAGGCCCCTTACGATAATGACTCTGTTATTTACGTTGAGCGGGAGGAGCATTATATAGATGGCAGTGGGGGATCTATCCTCAGCAGTGCCGACTTGTTCAGAACCAGGCCAAAAGTGTTACTTTATGGAGGCAAGGACTTCAAAATGGAGGGACCGTACATGTTTGCCACCAAAACACAAGTAATTATTTCGTTGTCAGAAGCATGTTTATTTTGTGAACAATTTCAGCATCACAGAGTATTAAACAAATTTCTCCATGTTAAAATGTCATTGATATTAATTATTACTGTTAATATTTTTTTTAAAGCGCCTTGTATGTATGTTTGCTTGTTTGATAGTGTATTTTTCAAATTTTTAAGTCTTGGGCTTTATAAATAGGTATATATATTGGTCTTTGCAGAGATTGTTTGGAGCACACCAACCAGTAAAGCAGTTCTGGGTATCTTACAAGAGGGGACGTTTTGTCAATGCCCAATTTTCTGAGGGACTTCCAAATTATGTAAGTCTAGTCCATGTTCAATTGGTTATTCTATGACTATTTAATTCTGTTTAAAACAAAAAATAGTTCAGCTACAATGATAAATTGTATATGTAATTGAAAAGAACATTTTAAATACAAGTCTTGTGTTCTATACACTTTGGAATTTTAGGGAACTTAAAAGTTGAGGACAAAAATTATGTATTTGTTGACATGAATATTTAAGTAAATTTTTTCATATACCTGGTTCAGTATAATTTTTTAAATTATCGTATTATCCACTAACATACATTTACATGTCCATTCTATGATGGGAAGACATGAATGCAACAGTACACAATTTTTATTTACAATATGCTTAAAATGCAGAATAGATAATTGAATTAATAAACATGTACATGTATTTCTGGATATGATGCAGGTCCATGTCTAATAAGGAATTTCTGTTGTAGGATTTTTATGTGGCAGATGCCTCAGAAGAGCAGGTGTTTCTAGTGGTCACTCACAATGAAACCACTGGTCAGTCCCACCTCTACATATCAGACATCACTGGAGCCAAGTACTCCAAGACTCTGGACAACATTGTCTACTATAATCCGGAGGGGGCTCATAGGAACAGCTGGCTCAAGTCAGTTTATACTGTATAGGAAAAACTACTACAAAAAATATGTGTACACTGTAGTTTGTTTTTTTTTTTAACTTGGTATACCAATTTAGTACCAAATGATTTGCTTATATGATTATCTTGCCCACTTTAAAATAAGATAGTTCTGAAGTTATCTACTTGATAGAAGATTGATAAGTGTACATAAATTTGGAATTCTATGATTTATACAGTTATTGGTAAAGGAGATTTTGTTTTAATTATTCGAGCTTTTAAATAACTAATTATTAGAGCCTATAAATAACTCTTCCATGACAGGTTGCTTTGTATAAAAAGAAAAAAAACCCTATATTTTTAGGCATTTGTGGTTTTGGAAATGCTTTTATCATTAAAAATATATTCAATTAAAACTTTCAGGTATTTTGCCAAAGAAGCATTTGTGGATTTAACAAAGATCAAAGGTATGAAGGGTGTGTATATTGCCAATCAGCTGACCAAGAACAATAGCTTCCAGAAGGATGACCAGAGGAGTATGATCACTTTTGACAAGGGTGGACAGTGGTCCCTCATCAATCCTCCTCCCTATGACATCAATGGCAACAAGACAAAGAACTGCACCACTTACAGAGTAGGTCAAGGGAATAAGAAAACCAGTAGAATAAGAATTAGTGTCATATGTAGATAACATTCACTGATTTTTTATACTCTTAAGGTATGTCACTCGTCAGCCTTTTAGAAAATTTCAGTCAGAACCTCTTACTTAAAAACTATTTATTACAATTCAATCTTTATAACATATCTAAATAAAACAATGTAAAATGTTAAACATTCAATTAAAAAACTCCTCAAAAATTCACAAAGAAGCAAGATTTATAAGGGACTATTTCTTGTGGCAGAAGGATATTTGGTAGAAAATTCTGCAAATCTACACATTTATTAAATTTGATATCTTGGAACTTTAGCCTCACATACTTTTACTCAGAGAATATTTTCCATTATGATATGCCTGGAATATTAAATATAGGTCTCAATTTATATTTTTATAACAAAATTTACACCTTCGCTCAACAAACATTGCCAAGAAATGAAGATATATTAAGGAAGTCGAGATAAAATTTACACAGTTTTTTGCCTGAAAATCGCATATTTTGACCAATATTTCAAAATTTACATCACTGACCCCAACTTTTTCTTTCATTATTTTAAACTACTCGATACTTTTGACCGATCAGCACTTAAGTCGTAAAAAGTTTGATACAAGAAAATATTCTATTGCCTATTTAGATTTTTAATACCCCAAATATGAGACTTTTTTAGTGCAAAAAGGTCACACAATAATTTACATGCATTTTAAAATTTGCATGATTTGTTCAATGATAAATATTATTCAAACTATATTACGTAAAATTAGATTATGTTTTTTGCCATGGTTACATCTTATAAAATATGATAATGGTTAAAGTGACTAACCAGAGTTACAATTTAAGTGAAAAAAGGTCAACTTAATTGTACCGTAGCTCAGTTAGATGCACACTGACCCCCCATTTTCTCTGCGATTTTGAGTCATACTATATGAGTACTTATCCAAAATATACTTCTCAAAAAATCCTTGATATAACAAATTTCATGAGTGACATACCTTAAAGGGAAATATCATGATTGTGCTGTAGATATGCTGAGCTGGTACTTTTGTTATTGCAAGTTCATAAAGGTTGGAAAGTTTTGAACATAGATCAGTTATTTGATGGTATAACTAAGATTTACTTGCATCATCTCACACATTCTTTGTTCCTGGGAGAGGTTTTCAGGAACTTTCTCAAATATACAGTAACTGAGAGAATTATGACCAATTTCAGAAGGATAACTGTTCCTCACTGCATGTGACCCAAGAGTTCAGTCGACTTTATCCAGGAGCTAGGAATATTCCCATTTTATCCCGAGAATCGGCACCTGGCATTGTCTTAGCAACAGGGGTCATAGGGACAAGGTTAAAGAACCAGCCTGATGTGTATGTGTCGTCCAGTGCAGGATATCAGTGGAAGCCAGTAAGTTATATCACAGAAGGACTTCATAAATAATAAGTACAGTGTACATGTTAACAGAATATTTTTGCTAGCTCTTAAATCTATTCCATAATTGCATGTTATTCACTGCAAATGAAACAGATTGATGTGAACCACCGGACTGACCGGAGTTTCTAATGAAAAATTTAATGAGAAATTCTCTTTCTTTAAAAAATTGGCACAAATTATTTGAACATTATCAATATAGCATGAAATGATTACAAAGTATATATTTCTTTAGGCATTGAAAGGGAATTACTTCTATGCTATGGGAGATCATGGAGGACTTCTTGTAGCTGTTCCACAGTTTCAGAACACCAGAGAGTTGTTGTAAGTTAGATTAAAAAACAAAAAAGGAAAAAAAAGAGACTGAGTAAATTTTTGGGGTGGACTATAAGTTTTTAATGCATGGATTGTTGAAGCTGATATTAAATGAAAAGACAAATTTAATCATAGGAAATGTTGAAACATAAACCAAGGTCATTTGAACATGTTACGTGAATTGTCAATGTAATTCTTTTAGAGAGTTTCAAATGCATATTTTGAAATGTTCCCTGCTAGAAAATTTTACTCCAGTTAATATAGGATTTTAACTCAATTTTTATGCCCCTGGATTGAAAGATCCCAGGGGTATATTGCTTTTGTTCTGTCTGTCTGTTGTCAACTTTAACCTAGCTCATAGCTATTGTGCTGTCAAGGGTAAGGCTTTAATATTTGACATGAGTGTTCATTATGACAAGACCTTTCCACTGATACAGAAATTTTTGATCATGTGACCTCAACTGTGATCTTTGACCTACATTTGAAAAACTTTAACATTGGCCATAACTATTGCTCTGTAGTCTACGTCCCACTCCAGAATTTTGTTACCACCTGGGGCATAGTGTTCACAAACACAACAGACAGACAGACAGGACAAAAACAATATACTCCCGGGATCTTTCGATCCGGGGCATAAAAATATTCAAAAAGTAATGCTTAGACACTGACAAGTAGAACTAATAAAATACATGTAAATCCTTCCTATCTCCTCAACTGACTGAAAAGAGATACATTATTCAACAACTTTAACCAGCCTCCATTTTGTTTACTTTGGATAGAGTCTGGTTAATTCGGACCCTGATCAGTTTTACCATGGAATAAAGCTCCTAACCTATAATACCGGTACTTCGACTAGTATCGTGATTATCTTGCAGTTATACAACTTACTGCCGCTCTTTTTTGATTAAATCAAGAAAGCTCTAACTAAAATCTTTATTTTTGGGGCATAACATATATAGTCAAACCTCGTTATCTGAAACTCAATGGGATGGAGAAAAAACTTGGAGATATCCGAGGATTCGAGATATCTGGAGTAAAATTCTCAAAGAATAAGGGGTTCGGACTTCCAAATCACTTTGACATGTCCGTGGTATTCGAGATATCATTGTTCAAGATATCGAAGTTCAACTGTATTGTTTACTCTAGTGACAACTGAATGATTTGAACAATGAGTATGCTGGAAGTACAATGGTCACACTTAAAAAAGTAAGTTATCTTATTCAGAATGTTTGGACTTCCAAAAATAACAATTACCAGAAAGAAATGTTTGAATTTCTTATTAGAAGAGTGGGCTTAGTGGAAAATATCCATAAAAATGTAACACAAGAGAACTAGCATCTAAATTTTATCAACATGGTGCACTGAATATTTAGCAAGATATTTCATTACAACTTCTTTCTTATATGTCCCTTAAAAATCTACAGTGATGGATTTCTTAGTATATTCAACAGCACGTTGCCCCCAGCTAGTTGACATTTCCTACTGCCAACACGAAAGAGGTCATTAAATTTAGTAATGGTGAATTAAGTATTGTGATACATATACTTTGTTTAAAATATTTTGATTTTATATTTAATTCAAAAGGAACGTTTTTCATGTTTGAAGCCAAGGTAGCCTTTAAGGCTTATAATTTTTTTTATATATAAAATATTTAAGGAAGCCATATTTTATTGAATAGTAATTTTTTCCACATTCTTAATACACTGTGTATTATTTCATATTTAATGTGAATTTTTTTTTCAAGATCCTTGGTTATGTTTTAAGGTTATTCTTAGGACTTTGTAGAAATTCCTCGAATTTCCTTTTGTAGATGCAGGATTTTGTATTGTAGATTTTCTTGTAGATATTTTTTGTATGTTGTAAGTAGTCCACTGATTTACTTTCGTAGATATTCTTACGATGAAGGAGAGACCTGGAACACCTACACTTTCCATAATGAGACCATCAGAGTCTATGGTGTACTAACAGAACCAGGGGAGGCAACTGCTATTTTTTCTATTTTTGGATCTCACTTGGGCATCCACAAATGGCTCATCATTCAAGTGGATATGGGGAAGGTCTTCAGTAAGTCTGAAGTGCAATGTAAATTCTACCAGAATGATAAAGTGTAAATATGCAAAAATGCATGTTATCATTGTAAATTCATTTGAAAATATATAATACATGTACATGTACACATTGAAATATGAGTTTTACAGACTGTATTTTACAAACTAGAAATGAGAAGACTTTAAAAATTTATTCAGGATACACTTGTAAGAAGGATGACTACAAGATGTGGTCTTTCACTGACAATCCTCCATTTGCTGGCTGTATCCTTGGTAAAAAGCTGGTTATTGAGAGGCGTATAGCTCATGCCTACTGCTATAATGGACGGGATTATGATAGAACAATTGTAGAGAAAAACTGTTCCTGTACCAGGGAAGATTATGAATGGTCAGTTAATATTTTCTACACAAATTTTATCATGGCAATGATGTAGCCTTTTTATGTAGAACTAAAGAAAGAAATTTATCATTATTCTGTTTTCATTTGTATTTTTAGATCTTCATCATTAGGTTTTATGAAATGTCAAACATATTTGTTTAATTTTTATTACAGTGCCTTTGGTTTTCATTTGGAAGAAAGCTTGTTCAATTTCAATCAGAAGTGTATAGAGGACAGTGACCCAGACATTAATATACATAAGCCTCCCAAAAACTGTCCTCCTGGGACATTTTATCCATACTCTCGGGGCTACCAGAAAATTCCAGGGGACACTTGTCAGTACGGTGAAGACTACCGATATGACCCCCTCATGTATTCCTGTCCTGTAGCAGGTAAGACTACAGATACGACCCCCTCATGTATTCCTGTCCCAGCAGGTAAGACTACCGATATGACCCCCTCATGTATTCCTGTCCGTTAGCAGGTAAGACTACAGATACGACCCCCTCATGTATTCCTGTCCCATGGCAGGTAAGACTACCGATATGACCCCCTCATGTATTCCTGTCCCATGGCAGGTAAGACTACAGATACCACCCCCTCATGTATTCCTGTCCTGTAGCAGGTAAGACTACAGAAATGACCCCCTCATGTATTCCTCTCCCATGGCAGGTAAGACTACAGATACAACCCCCTCATGTATTCCTGTCCTGTAACAGGTAAGACTACCAAATGACCCCCTCATGTATGCCTGTCCCAGCAGGTAAGACTACAGATACGACCCCCTCATGTATTCCTGTCCTGTGACAGGTAAGACTACAGATATGACCCCCTCATGTATTCCTGTCCCAGCAGGTAAGACTACAGATACAACCCCCTCATGTATTCCTGTCCTGTGACAGGTAAGACTACAGATACGACCCCCTCATGTATTCCTGTCCTGTGGCAAGTAAGACTACAGATGTGACCCCACCATGTACATGTATTCCTGTCCCGTGGCATGGGAGAAAGCAGTCTGAATGTAAATCAGCCTCACCCTACACTGAGCTATTCTTATCACAGTCTGTTCTTTGTAGGCATGTCTAACTCTAGTATATTATTTATTGTCCCCCGCTTTCACTGAAAGTGGGGGATATTAATTTGGGTCTGTCTGTCCGTCCGTCCGTCCGTCTGTATTTCTGTCTGTCTGTAACACTTTCGTTTCCGCGCGATATCTCGAGAACCCTTTGAGCTTTCGCAATGAAATTTTGCATAGCAACTCCCTATCGCCTAAAGAAGAACTGTATTGATTTTGAGGTCAAAAGGTCGAAGGTCAAGGTCATAACTTCATATATTCTGTCTGTTTTAACACTTTCGTTTCCGCGCGATATCTCGCGAATTCTTTGAGCTTTTGTAATGAAATTTTACATGACAACTCCCTGTGGCCTATGGAAGACCTCTATAGATTTTGAGGTCAAAGTTCAAGGTCATAAATTCATAAATTCCGTCTGTGTGTAACACTTTTGTTTCCGGGCCATAACTCAAGAAGCTTTTGAGCTTTTGCAATGAAATTTTATACCATAACTCCCTATAGCCTCTCTCGACCCTCTCGAAGTGTCCCATCCCTAGACAGAAAATGATAAATGTCCTACGGACCCGGTTTAACGATAGAATGCGTTTCGTGTATTGTCCATGTAGCAGAAGAAAATACGGGAGATAACTCTAACTCAGTTCATTTACTATGAAAAATCCCGAGTGTTCCAAATGTCAACATGGTGTGTAAATTTGAAACGAGTAAAAAACGTCGGTGAAAAAGTGTTGAATTCTTCCATAATATGGATTAAATTTTTAGATGAAAGGTATTTACAGTCTCAAAAAGGTTTGTTATGATTAATTTGACTGTTATTTTCAATGCAACTTCATTAATTTTCTCCAAAATCGTTTCGGAGCGATTCTGCAATTTTCTGCTACATTACGGGTATATGGGGGGGGGGGGGGGCATTCTAACTGTGGTGAGGGTCATCCCTCTTTGATAATTAATCAATGTAAATAATGTATTTGAAAGCTTAATGAATAAGAGAATTATGCAAGATAATTTATTGTATAATAAAAAAATAGTTTCATAGTTTAAATGACTTGGAAATAATAGAAAAATAAAAAATGAGACAAAAATAACTTATCTTCTTAAATGTTCTTCAAAGGCCAAGAGAGGCCATTGTGAGAAGTAATAATATGGGGTTAAATAATAGACATTTTGTTAATAGTCTGCATGGGAATAGTGATAAAAGGGGGGGGGGGGGATAGATACTAGACCAATTATTTTGTTGATGCTAATCGTACTATTTTTCTTGCTTTTGGGCAACAAAGCTTCATTTTTCACTTTATGGATCCTCTAAATTGTTGTATTGTACTCAGGTGACCGTTAAGGCCCTTGGGCCTCTTGTATTATTATCCTTATGGGATTCATTTGATCCAGAGTCTTATATATGCAGAGGAGTATGTGTGAAATTTCATGAAAATTTTCCTGAAAACAACAGGGTTGTGGATTGTCAGATCAATATGCATTCATTTATTATTCACTCCATGGCTTTGGAGCCAGTTTCAAGACAAAAAATAAAAAAAATACCTATCTTTTTTTTTTTTTTTTTTTTAATAGAGGTGCCTGAATTTCTGATCTATGTGTCAAGTCGCAATGTACATCGAGTTCTGCTGGGGGATAACAGAGAGGAAGTAATTTACACAGCCACTGGCATGAACAATGTCCTTGCAGCCGAGTTTGATCTCCATAGCAACTGCATGTTTGTCAGTCTAACTAAGGAAATACAGGTTAGACAAAAATATATTGGCTTTTTTATTATGCCCCCGGATCGAAAGATCCCGGGGGTATATTGTTTTTGTCCTGTCTGTCTGATTGTCTGTTTATCTGTTTGTCTGTCTGTCTGTTGTCAACTTTAACCTTGCCCATAACTTTTGATTGGTTGGAGCTATGACTTTCATATTTCACATGTGTATTCCCTGTGACAAGACCTTTCTTTGGGTACCATCATATTTGACCTTTTGACCTTGACCTTGGAGTTTGACCCACTTTTGCAAAATTTTATGAGACTTTAACCTTGGCCATAACTTCTGAACAGTTGGTGCTTGGGGTTTCAAACTTCACATGTGTATTCCTTGTGACAAGGCCTTCCTTTGGATACCAACAACTTTGACCTTTTGACCTTGACCTTGGAGTTTGACCTACTTTTGAAAAACTTTAACCTTGGCCATAACTTTTGAACGGTTAGAGTTAGGGCTTTCATACTTCACATATGTAATTCTTGTGACAAGACCTTCCTTTGGATACCAACCACTTTGACCTTTTGACCTTGACCCTGGAGTTTGACCCACTTTTGCAAAATTTCATGAGACTTTAACCTTGGCCATAACTTTTGAATGGTTAGAGCTAGGGCTTTCATACTTCACATATGTAATTCTTGTGACAAGACCTTCCTTTGGATACCAACCACTTTGACCTTTAGACCTTGACCTAGGAGTTTGACCTACTTTTGAAAAACTTTAACCTTGACCATAACTTTTGAATGGTTGGTGCTAGGGCTTTCATACTTCACATATGTAATCCTTGTGACATCACCTTCCTTTGGATACCAACCACTTTGACCTTTTGACCTTGACCTAGGAGTTTGACCTACTTTTGAAAAACTTTAACCTTGACCATAACTTTTGAATGGTTGGTGCTAGGGCTTTCATACTTCACATATGTAATCCTTGTGACATCACCTTCCTTTGGATACCAACCACTTTGACCTTTTGACCTTGACCTAGGAGTTTGACCTACTTTTGAAAAACTTTAACCTTGACCATAACTTTTGAATGGTTGGTGCTAGGGCTTTCATACTTCACATATGTAATCCTTGTGACATCACCTTCCTTTGAATACCAACCACTTTGACCCTTTGACCTTGACATAGGAGTTTGACCTAGTTTTAAAAAACTTTAACCTTGGCCATAATTTTTGAATGGTTGGTGATAGGGCTTTCATACTTCACATATGTAATCCTTGTGACAAGACCTTCCTTTGGATACCAACCACTTTGACCCTTTGACCTTGACCTAGGAGTTTGACCTACTTTCGAAAAACTTTAACCTTGGCCATAACTTTTGAATGGTTGGTGCTAGGGCTTTCATACTTTACATATGTAATCCTTGTGACAAGACCTTCCTTTGGATACCAACAACTTTGACCTTGACTTTGATGTTTTACTTACTTTCGCAGCTACGTTAAGGCCGTCCGAAGGCTTAATGTGTATTAGATCTATACTATTTTATTTTAAGATATGTTTTGATTTTAATTTGTAATCTATGTATACATACATAGTAAAGTTGCAAAGAGAGTTGAATAAGGTATTATAAAAAAGCATTTTTGTGATGTCTCATGACTGTGTTGATCACGTGACAGACACTTATACATTTTCTTAAATGTTGCACAAAAATCGCATCGGCACAAGTGAAAAACAAAATTATTGTGAACGGCTTGTTACATAAATCAATTAAACATATTTTTGGGTATATATAAAGTGCTGGGGGAAAGTCTGAATTTTATTTCGTAAGAGAATATTTCACAAGAAATTCAACTTACCCACATACAACGGGTCATTTTCCACTCTTCATCGCAATTTATACAAAATGGGATAAATTACATACAATCCCCCAGCAAAATTCAGTTAGAGGACATATTTCTCTAGTAGATTCACACAGAATATCTTCAATTAATCCTTATTATTCACTTGTGCCAGTCCAATGTATATAGAATTTATAAATTCTAACTCTGTCTACGGACGTTTAAGGGGGAGCATTTCACATTCTTTTTTGTAATTATTTTAATACGTACATGTAAGACAAGAAGAAGGAATAACGATATTATACTGCAAATATTCACCATCATAACAGCTTTAGAACAAAAATCCAGACACATGATTTAAACATCTGAATCAATGTAAAAAAAATTCTACATGTGATGTGAAAGGAATGTAAAAGTTATGACACTTTCCCCGTCATGTCTGCTCAAATTTGCAGAGACTTGACGTCATATGCCATTATGACGTCATATCTAGATAGTTCAGAGAAGTTACTACGGCTGGTACACTGTGACATTCTTCGGACAGCCTTATCCTAGCAGCGTTTAAAAAACTTTAACCTTCGCCATAACTTTTGAACAGTTGCAGCTAGGGCTTTCAAATTTAACATTTTTTATCTTTTGTCCTGGATTTTGACTTGCATTTGAGAAACTTTAACCTTCACCATAAGCTGCCATACGGGGGCATCAGTGTTTCACAAACACGTCTAGTTTTTTGTAAAATTGTATATACATTCACGTGTGACTGTATAGCCTGTTTAAATTATTTTTTATTATGAACAGTCGGTCACTATACATGTATCAATGATATTAATGATCCTTATTTTACATCTTATTAATTGAAATATATTACACATTTATCTTTACAGAAAGTCTGTTTTGGAGAAAATACAACAAATACAGCGACAGCTATGCCAGTCATAAGCAAGAACCTTGGTAACGTGGAGGCTTTAGCATTTGATTGGACAAGTAAGAATTTGTACTGGATTGATTCTGCATTGCGAAAACTAGAAGTGGCCCGAGAGGATGGCAGGTACAGGAAGGAGCTGTTTAACGCAACTTACCTGGACAGGCCGAGGGCAATGGTCTTGGATCCAAGATTTGGGTACTAAAGAAAACTACTTTCTTATTGTGTATTAAAGATTAAAAAGTATTCTCTGCTGAATAGAAAGTCTCCTTTGAATAACAAATTGTTGCTTTTAGTTTTTCTTTGTTGATTTCAAGTTTACTGCATGTATCCTTCAATTTCTTCTGTGCAACGTAATTACACTGTATATCATCTGATTTAAATTTTCAATGTCCTTGAAATTAACTTCTAGATACATGTACTGGACAGACTGGTCAGCTTCAAACCCCAGAATTGTCCGTGCTTGGATGGATGGTTCGCACAACCAAACCATTGTCACCAGTCCGAATGTCCACTGGCCAAATGGTATAACCATTGACTACCGTTCAGACAAGATATTCTGGACCGATGCATACAGATATGGTGTATACTATGCAGATTCTGATGGGAGAAATCCACATACAGTAAAATCTGGATATTACTACACTCCACACCCATATAGCATTGGAGTGTTCAAGGTTTGACATCTGTGGTTTCAGGCTTGAATGAAAAAATATGATTGAGAATAATATTTAATTCATTATCATGATGTTGAAAATATATCATTGTTTTCTACATTAATATCAAAATATTTTAATCGTATATTTTATATTATTGTGATAGTTCTTTGATTGGTAACTATAATAAAACATTTCGTATCTTTAGAACAATTTATACTGGACTGATTGGACAAAGAAAGCTGTGCTGACCATAAACAAAAACAGTGGGCTGGGCTTTAAGCCGATAATTAGCAATATAAATCGTGTGAGGGACCTAAAAGTCTACTCCAGCACATCTCAAAGCTGTAAGATATACAAACATTATTACCACTGAAGCTATTGACAAAGAGCATACAACTGTATAAGGCTTTTTAGCTCACCTGAGCTGAAAGCTCAAGTGAGCTTTTCTGATCACATAGTCTGTAGTCCGTCTGTCCGTCTATCTGTTCGTCCGTCCATCTGTAAACTTTTCACATTTTCGACTTCTTCTCCAGAACCACTTGGCCAATTTCAACCAAACTTGCCACAAAGCATCCTTGGGTGAAGGGGATTCAAGTTTGTTCAAATGAAGAGCCACACCCTCATTCAAAGGAAGATAATTCAGAAATAGTGAAAATTTGTGGCATATTTTGAAAATCTTCTTCTCAAGAACCACTGGCCCAAAAATGTTGAAACTTATAGGAATCCTTTGTTATATAGTGTAGATTCAATTTTGTTCAAATCATGACCCCTGGGGGTAGGGTGGGGCCACAATATGGGGTCAAAGTTTTACATAGGAATATATACTAGGAAAAAACTTGAAAAATCTTCTTCTCAAGAACAGCAAAGCCATGATTTGTCATATTGATATGGAAGCATCCTCAGGTATTGTAGATTCAAGTTTGTTCAAATCATGACCTCCAGGGAAAGGGTGGGGTCACAAAGGGGGATCAAAGAATTACATCAGAAAAAAATCTTTAAAAATCTTCTTCTCAAGAACAGCAAAGCCATGATTTGTCATATTGATATGTAAGCATCCTCAGGTAGTGTAGATTCAAGTTTGTTTTAATCATGACCCCCCGGGGTAGGGTGGGGCCACAAGGGGGGATCAAAAGTTTTACATAGGAATATGTACTAGGAAAAAACTTGAAAAATCTTCTTCTCAAGAACAGCAAAGCCATATTTAGTCATATTGATATGGAAGCATTCTCAGGTATTGTAGATTCAAGTTTGTTCAAATCATGACCCCCGGGGGTAGGGTGGGGTCAAAATGGGAGATCAAAGTTTTACATAGGAATATAAAGGAAAAAATATATGAAAAAATCTTTTAAAATCTTCTGCTCAAGAACAGCAAAGCTATTTGTTATATTGATATGGAAGGATCCTCAGGTAGTTTAAAATTCAAGTCCCCCCCCCAACTTCTTTTAAACTTTTCAATACTGAATTGATTTGTGCTCTTCCTAGCCATTGTGCTCAGGTGAGCGATGTGGCCCATGGGCCTCTTGTTTGTTTAGAAAATTTAAAACAAGTTATGAAGTTAGTGAAGTTACTACAAGACATGTCTCTTGTGACTAGGTCAATCCTGTCTCATATCTAGTAAAGTTTTATGTAAATATAAACGTTTTGTTGTAGCCTCCTCCCCCTGTAGTCATGGTAATGGAGCCTGCACCCAGCTGTGTCTGCCTCGCCCTCAATTCAATGAAACAGGTGTGAAGGTTTCCAAACAGAACCGTACCTGTGCCTGTAACGGAACCTCCTTCAAGATCCCCACAACATCAGGATCCTCAGAACACTGCAACTGTGGGGAGAAAGACATGAAAATTAATGGAGTCTGTATGCCCTCGAATCGGTCTTCAGGTAACAAATATGCTCACTCCATGGTTACCTGAAGATTAACTTAATTTTTTACTGTCATTATATAATTCATTTTAGAACTTTTAAAAATTGCTTTGCTGATGTGTAACATTATCATTTCATAATTATAGGTTGAAAGTACCTGTATTCAATACATTCTAGTGAAATGTTGCATGCATATATTGCATGCGTTATATGTAATTTGCTCTGTTAATCACTCTAAACAAAATATATTGTAGTGTCTAACTGCTCACACTCCCACTTTACCTGCGGTAACGGTCGATGTATTCCGTCTACCTGGCTCTGTGACCGTGACGATGACTGCCATGATGGATCAGATGAATTTGACTGTCGTATGTAGAAACTGTTACGTTTTATATAGATTCACATATAACTGAATAGTCCTCTAAAATTGACAATTATAACAGTCAGTGTTTCTTTGAACTGTCAAATCAAGAGTGGTTGAATATGTAAATATTAACTTTGATTGTGGCATTAGTGTTAAGTCAAATATTTAAATCCATTGAATCTTTCTTTGAAGCTTACTTGGAGTGCACGGCAGGTAATTTCCAATGTAAAGCCGGGGGAAATTGTATCCCTCAGCGCTGGCGTTGTGACCATGACCATGACTGTGAAGACGGGAGTGATGAAATGAATTGTGGTAAGTTCTGATGTTGTGTGATTAAGAACCGTGTCAGAAATGATATGATGTAAATGTTTCAAAATTGTACATGCATCTTATAATGGACTCATAAGGACTTATAATCAACAAAGCCTTTTTCTACTATCCCATCATGCCTGTATGCCAGCTAGGTCAGTGTAAAACTAGCTAAAGGAACTTTGCACGATATGTAAGCATTTCCTGAACATGCTTAAGATTTAAAATTTCCATATTCATTAGGAGAAAGTGAAAAGCCAATGGACTTAATAAATTATTTGATTTTTGATTGTTAATTTGAAAATTTTCACTTTACAGCTTAACCCTCAGTACAGAGTTTACATCTAATTTTGCTGTAAATATTTACTTTTTAGACCCCTCCACCTGAAAAAAGACACAAGATATTTGTATGATAAATCTTCATTTTGCAGCTTTCCCTACCTGTAATTATAGTAATATTTTCAGTTTTGCCTTTATATTGTATACAGGATATACCACAGTATTTTCACCTCTCATTATTTCCTCTCATTATTTTCACCCAGTCATACCTGCAAATGATTTTACCTTGTTTTAAATTTACCCAGACACAGTGTTTTAAAAGAGATAACTAGTCCTGATTGAATTCACCGAGTTTTAAATTCACCCACTTGCTGGGGGGGGGGGGGGGGGGGGAGGCAAAAATAACCCTGTATAGAGTACTTAAAACATTTTAGCTTATGTCTTGTCTGATAACAGTGCTCAGGACATTTATGAATTTACTGTGAATCTTCACTTACCAATGTCCTCTTCTGTAAGGATACTTCAAAATTTACCTGTGATTTTATCATACATCTTTGTTACAACTACCCATTTTGTTACAGAAGTACAAATGTTACATGCGACAACCTTTGTTTACAGGTTACATGTCTTGTAAACATAGTAAGAGAAGTACATAGTTTACATTCTTTGTTTTACAGTGTACCCATCTTGTAACAAGAGTACACAGTTTACATGTGACAATCTTTGTTTTATAGTGTATCCATCTTATAACAAGAGTACACGGTTTACATGTGACAATCTTTGTTTTACAACTTACCCATCTTGTAACAAGAGTACACAGTTTACGTGTGACAATCTTTGTTTTACAGCTTACCCATCTTGTAACAAGAGTACACAGTTTACATGTGACAATAGTCGCTGTATCCCCCTCAACTGGACATGTGACCATGATGATGATTGCCATGACAACAGTGATGAACAAAACTGTAGATACAATGGTGAGATTCAATTCTTATATATTTCGCTATTTGAACTACATTTTTACAGAGTTAGTAAACTGGTTTCATGCATGCACAATTTTTTTGTACATATAAGATTAATATATGAGCATTATTTTCTCTCTGTACATGATATTATATTCTATTCTAATTACATGTACATAAAATCAGAATGTATAATACATGTGCACAGTACATATTTATTTGATGTGTTTACTTGTATTTAATACTTGTACATGTATTTGACATGCTTAAGGACCCGAACCCTCTCTACACTAAAGGAAAATTTTTTTGGACATTGGGAGAAGTATAATGACTGTATAAAAGTGTAAATATTGAGCTAATCTATGTGATTTTCAAGATAGGATATGCTGCATTAATGTTCAAAGACAGCGGAGTATTGGTGAATAGAAATCACTGTTGTTAATTCATAGGGGGAAAGCACATGGAAACATTGTGTTCATTGACTTTATCTTGGCCTTTTGAAATGCTGAGAATGTTTAAATTCTTTACAAATTGAGTACTGTAGATTTCAATTTATTCTGTTTTAGTTCAAAGGGCAGATTACTTTAATTGTATAGAAATACCACAGAATCAGAACTCTTTAGTGTGCAGTGTATAGAGGGTTCTTATTGATAAATTAAAAGTAGGTTGATATTTACAATGAATTTATTGTAGGTAATTACCAAGACCCTTTAGTTAGTATCTCAAAATCGATCAGTTATCTATGATCAGTAAAATGTCTTGTGGATAACTGTATTTTCAATGAAGAACAATAATTTATCAATTATAGTACCCAGTACTATAGAGTAACTTAATCTTTGGAATCTCAGAGACCTGCAGCGATGAAGAGTTTCACTGTGCCATGCATCAGCCGAGGTGTATTCCGAGCTCCGACGTCTGTAACGGCCAGAATGATTGTGTGGACGGCTCTGACGAGGTCAACTGTACTCAAAGTCATTGTCCGTACTATAAACAAGAGTGTGCAGACAGGTCACAGTGTATTTACCGGAGCTGGGTGTGTGATGGAGAGGCAGATTGCCGAGACGGCAGCGATGAGAAAAACTGTTCCTTTACAAGTAAGTCCTGCAATCAAAAGAAAATACTATATTTTTGTAGTTCTGAGAATTAGTCTTTAAAATTTGCACCCTTGTCATTAAGTGGGAACAAATAAGAACTTCTGACAGAGAAAAAAATGTTAACCTGCCAAAAAGAAAAAATAATATGCACAAATGTTTAAGTGTACTACAGTAGATGAAAACTACAGTACCTTAAGAAAAAGGTCACATCTTATATAAACACTGATATATGTAAGTGTAAGATCAAGATAAAATTGTCAAACGAGCAGCTACATGTATTAATTGTCAGAAAAAGAACAAAGGTTTGGCTGTTAAATAAATTCAGACATTACCAAAAGTTGCCTTTCTATGGAGATTTTTAACGTCTTAAGGAATTCTTCCAACAGCTTGTTCCCATATCCAGGTCATTTTGCAGATAAACTGACTTTGTATTCATAAACATCCAATTATATTATTTTTTATTTTTTCATATTGATCATATGTCTAGTGTTTTCCTTTCAGACTTCACAACACCCCCTCTTACCACTGGTGAGATATATGCACAATATATATTATAGCTTTGTCCATGTATGTATGTCCAAAGGGTTTAGGGTTACATGTATTCATTATTGTAGACTGTCCATATCATAAATACCCATATAGTTTTGGGCTACTTACAGACCTGTGTAGTATTTGTATGTCTGATGTTTGGGTTTTATAGGAGAATACTGTATGTGTACTTTAAAACGTGGACTTCGTATTTTAGTGGCTTTGGCGCAGACAACAGTATGCTAATTTATGATTTCCATTAATAAATGAATACCACAGTGATCTTTAATTGTCAATTTATGCTCCTGTGTAGAGTGTCCGACCATCCAGTCTGCCATTATTAAACGTTCAAAATCGTGAGTCTGATTCAAGTATGGCCTATATTCACCATGTGTGAGATTCTGTGTAAAATCTTAATTGTTTTTAATCCAATTTCAATAAATGAAGTTTATAATTCATAAAAAACAATCAGCATGTTATATTCCTTGACAATGTAGTAGTGAGGGAGCACTCGTAAAGGTTAGTAACATCATGAGTTATCTTCTCAAAATGTAATATTAGGCCACCTTTCTTTTAAGAAAAATGATTTTTAAAAAACTGGAATCTTGGGTTTACTGCAGAAATCTAACATTACTGCTTTTATTCAGAATGTGGCTTGATTATCACAAAAATTTCACCAACAACCGATAGAATTAATTAGGCAGCTCTACTGCTCACCACACCTATGAACTATGTACATGGATAATTATGTAAACTTCTGTTGTCAACTTACTCTACTAAACGACCCTTTTGTGGGTGATAATAAATTTTTAGTTTGCATAATTGCTTTAATTAAGGTAATTAAAATTAGCGATCTACTTCAACCTAGCCTAAGGCTCAATTCGGCCAGGTGGACAAGTTTATTTAACACTGATAATTATACCATTTGTGAGAGTATACTTACAATATTGTATAAACTTTTTAAAAAAAAAAAAAAAAAACTAAAATGTTTCTATTTTTTTTTTTAATTTAAGCGGTACATTAGTAGTTCCAATTCATGATTGTGCCAAACACTCCATACCCAGTTACCGCGCTTATATGAATGTGCCAATTTAAGTACATGTACAGTATCTTTTGTATGAAAAGTAATAGAAATCAGTCTGCTTGTTCTGTATTTAGAATTTATTAATGATTTATTAGTGATAAGGCACTCATATACTGATACAGATATAAGGAAGAAAGACAACAGAACTGCGGAAGTAACACTGTTATAAGAATAACAATTACAGATTAAGTCAATCTTAAATGATTTTCTAATAGAAAACCTGACTAGGTCACTGTTTTTGTGAATTTCAGCTTTTTCAAGTACATTCAGGCAAATTCATATAGTAACAGCGTATTCTCATTTTACACATCATTGCAACCAGATAGTCAACCCACGTCCAAATGGTCAATCTGTGGAGCCATCAGAAGTGCAGGGTCAATGATAGTAAATGTTATCTGCAGGTTTTACCTTGGCAATTATTCTTTTTTTGGTGTGTTTGGCCTGTGTACCACAAGGTATCTTCAGATGTGTTAGTAAGTCAGTGTTTTGTAAATACTCGGCTTATGATAATTGTTTACTCATTACAGCCTTACCTCTGACAACCACTACTTACTACTGTCAGCGACGCTGTACAGACGGACGTGGTTGCTATGACTACAGCCAGAGGTGTGATGGAGTCGAAGACTGTCTGGATGGATCAGATGAAATATACTGCGGTAATAAGTTCGTAACAATCTGTAACTATTGTAACAATTACTCTTCTGTCTCAGTGAGCTTGTTTATCTTGCTTTTTCAAAATTATGAAATTTGTGACTTTTCCAAAGCTAGATTAATTACAACCAAATTCAACACTATTCATTACTTGATTTACGTGACATTGTACAGTACATGTACATTTGAGTAAACATACATGTAAGATAAGCTCAGTATTTATAAAAATAACTAAAAAAAATTCTATGTGTTGCTTGATGTTTGGAAAGAAATAGAAAAAAGAGCATCTTTTATGGCTGCCTCATCTTTTATAGACCCAAAGTTAAATATTCACAAAACTGTTTCAGTCTGTAGAACTGATATATAGGCATCCATGTACACAATGTATTGTAGATCTACATGTTATGTGTACATTCAAATAAAAACTGGGCCATGAAAAGGGTTCTTATTAAAATTCAATTTTCTGTAAGAAAGTGACTGCAGATGAGCTTTCTTTGCCATGGCCAGCCTCCTTCACAGCTTTTTACAGTTATTGTCCTATAATGAATCTCGGAATCAGAAATAACCTTCGAGAATAAGGAGAGATTTTACCCTGAGATACTTGAGATTCAAATAGATATGTACAAGTAATGAAGCATGTTGTCTCTGTAGGACATAGAACAATTACTCCAGCAATGACCACCACCTCTTCTCCGGGCTGTAGTGAGAACCAGTTTTACTGCTACAAAGGTCACTCTATTTATCCCATGTGTATCCCTCAGACCTGGGTGTGTGACAATGCTACTGACTGTGAAAACGGAGAGGATGAAGATGCCAGTGATTGTAGAGGTACAATAAAGTTATAAATAGAAAATTACAAAATACTAATGTGTTATATTTCAAAAAATCATGTCATTTTTTGTACATTGTCCATTCAATGTGTACATATGTACATGTATTCTATCTTTGTTTATTAAGAAAGAAGATTTTTTGGTAGATAATTCATGTAATTATTCTAAAAAAAAAAAGAAGCTTCAAGTTTAGAGAATATTGCATGACTAATGTCATTATAGACTGCTTACTAGCAGTAAAACTACATTGACTGAAGTTTGAGCAAGTTATTGTACTTCCCATATTCTTGCATTTAGTACCATTAAAATACACTCTTCATGTAGATATTGTCCATGTTTAAGACAAACATGTTTAATGTTAGATTATTTATCACACAAAGACATATAAAATGTAAACTAAACGGAATAAACAGATCACCAACACTTCGTGAGAATGCACAAGTGAAATTATTTAGTTGACCGGTTTCGACCAGAGACGGTCGTCATCAGAACCTTGAGAATCTTCTGTAATTTCAACCTTAAGGTGTTGGTTTCCAGTCTAATTTTGTTTTGTTTTACATATAAAATGTGTGTAAAATGTTGGATATACAGTACTCCTACATATACTTCAAAATCAAGTGTGACCCTACCCATAGTTTCACTTTCATCTTTCAGCTAAAGAGCATTGTTCTGTCAATGACTTTAAGTGTTTGTACATGGCTGGTTGTGTGCCTCAGTCTAAGGTGTGTGATGGCAGCTATGACTGCCTGGATCATTCTGATGAGATGGGATGTAAGGTGACATCTACTACTACTCCAGGTAAATACCTCGACAAGGTATTATTTTGAATGGTTTCAGATTTGGATATATATTTCTCAAACTTAAGCATTTTGTTATCCTTCAGAAGAAAGAAAAACCAGCTTTGTATATGTACACATACACAGTTGTGTGTTTCTGTTTCAGCTTCAGTCGAGCTTTGTTATCAGCTTAAACATGAGAATTTTGAGAAATTTCGTAAGAACTACTATGTATGTAACTCTCAGGGAATGGAGACCTGTGGGCTATGGTTGAGAGTGTGTGATTGGACAAATCCTTGTTACCTCTATGACCAGTTGATTGTTACATTATGCACACAAAGATGTACAGTATAAATTCAGTTTTTTTTTCATCTGACAAATCAGTTAAATGACCATTTCCAATGTAATAAATATGTAAAATAAATGTATATTTAGAGCAGTATTTATCATATATTAAATATTCTGTGAAGTGAATTATGAACTGCATGTATTTTTTAACAGTAAATGTGACACATCTGGAGGCAATACCTGACACAGAGGGTAACATTCTTGTGACCTGGCAACCCCCATCAAAACAAGCCAATCCGAAATTCCGATACAAAGTCTCTTATTTGTAAGTTATAGGGTTATCAGTGCAATATAAGCCATAAGTCAAACAGAAAAACAGACATATCAAAAGTATTTAGAGTTGAGAAAGAGTGTTTAAAGAGCAATTTTTATGGTATACCTCATCTGATTAGCCTTTTTTAGCTCACCTGAGCTGAAAGCCTCAAGTGAGCTTTTTTTGATCACCCTTTGTCTGTTGTCCATCTGTCCGTCTGTAAACTTTTTCAACTTCTCAAGAACCACTGCTGCAATTTTAACCAAAGTTGGTACAAAGCATCCTTAGGTAAAAGAGAGTTTAAATTGTTAAAATTAAGGGCCATGCCCCCTTCCAAGGGGAGGTAATAAAAAAAAAGATAAAAAGAGGATGGGGTCATTAAAAATCTTCTTCTCAAGAACCACTGGGCCAGAAAAGCAGAAACTTATGTGGAAACTTCCTGAGGTAGTAAAGATTCTAAATTATTCCAAATCTTGACCCCCAGGAGTAGGTTGTAGTCCCTGGGCTTAGGGTGGGGCCACAATAGGGAATCAATTTTTACATTGAAATATATAGGAAAAATCTTCTTCCCAATAACCACTGGCCTGAAAAGCTGAAATTTATATGGAACTTTTCATGGTAGTGTAGATTCTAAATTGTTCAAATTATGACCCCTGGGGGTAGGGTGGGGCCACAATAAGTATTACAAAAGGAAAAATCTGGTGAAGAACAGCAGGTCTAAAGTTACTCAGGTGAGCATTGTAGTCCATGGGCCTCTCGTTTAATGACATTATTACATCTTTCTTTCTCTTACTTTTTTAAAATACATATGTTCTGCAGCAAAAATAAAGTTTTGTTGAAAGATTTTAATATTCTGTGAATTGCAGGGAACTCCATATTTACCTGGTTCATATTTAGGAATAAGTCATTGAGACTTCAATTACAAATTCTCTTGACTAGCAAGGTTAATGAGATGCATTCAAGAAGTTTCACATTGCATTATACTTAAACTTTTTTTTCAATCTTGACAGTTCTTTTTGAAACAATATGGATAATAAAATAAAACATTGCTAGTTTGGATTGATCTCTTGTGCTGGATGTTTTGATAAATGAGTGTGGAAATTTTACAGAGAAAAGGAGAATGAAAAGACATGGCAAAATATTACAGAAAACCTTAGTGGAAATAGTTACACCATTAAAAATGTCCGATCTTTGACCCCATATGTGATCACTGTTTATGTCATCACCCCTGACAACAGGACTCATTTCCCTGTGGAACCAATTACTGTAACAACCTTGCAGGAGGGTAAGTCATCCCATAATTAAGTACATATGTACTGTAAAAATGAAGTGAAGATGTATATTCTGAGATTTCTCTCTCTGAATGAGTTACATAAATATTCATGAAGGATTCTTATTATTTTTTCAAATGTAGTACCTAGAAAACCAGGCTCTTTCAGAGTGAATTATGCCTCTGATAATATCACAGTACAGTTGACCTGGACTGCCCCACCTGGATCAGGCCCAGGAGAGATAAAGAGTTACAAAGTAAGCTTCAAGTTAAAAGATTGCAATGCAGAAGTATATAGAGGAACAATTTAAGAAATAAACAAGTTTTAAAACTTCATAGGAAAATTAAGTGGTCTAGGTAAAATTGATATTAAGGTTCTCAGGCCAATTTTCTTGGAAACAGATGCAGACAGGAGGCCTTTTTTTTTTATCCTTATCGTCGATAAATTAGATGTGGGAGGCATTTTTTATTCTAGAATTTTCTATAAAATTCTTCCTTTTTAGTTAGCCTTCACAGGAGTCATTCTGTAGATATATTTAACATCTAAGGAAATTACCAAATTTATGCATATTTTTCATTTTTCACGAACAAAGTATCCATATTGAATAGGTGTCAAGGTCCACAGCTATTAATCTCTATGGAGATGCTGCTGGGCTAGATGTTTGGACTGACGCCCATGGGCATCAGTCCAAATATCTAGCCCAGCAGAATCTCAATAGAGATTACACAGCTATATGAAATGGCTACCAAAAACGAAAATTGTATACAAAACTATGTGAATTTGAGGTCACAAAATTTTTTCTCCCAAATTAGTCTCAGCATTACCAACCTTTTATTTTATTGAAAATTCAATAAAAATTGCAATGTGGCTACTACAAAATGGATGCGAGCGGGCCCGATAACCGTAATATCAAATTTAATTAGCCTTTCAGCTTCAATTTTAATGGTGAGAATATGTATTTGTGCCTTTGTTTGTAGATATACTGGAAATCAGCAGAAAAGAATGTTACCTCCTTTTTAACTGTGCCAGGGAGAAGCAACTCTTTCTTATTTGACAACGGCAGGCTGACCTACAAGAAGAAATATCAGTTTTGGGTAAGGTAGTTTCAGATTCACTTGTCTAAGTCCCAAAGATGTCCATTATCTGATTGTCTACCTGTTTGTAAATAAATTTTGAAGTGCTTCTCCTCCTTCAATTAAATGTATCATTAGATTTCAATAAAACTTGGTACACAGATAGACTGAATAAAAATACACAATTCTGTTTTTATCTTTGTTACAAATAAGAATTTGAAACTTACATGAAATTCTTGCAAAATGCCACTTCTTCAGCAGTTTTGATCCTTTGTCCAAAAAAAAAAAATCTCTACACAAGTAAACTATAGCAAAATACACAATTCTCCTCTCTTTTAATTTTCCAAATCTTATTGAACATTTGCAGCACATATATTTTATATTTGTTTGTATTTAGTATACATCATGTAAGAGAATTTTTTTATCCTCTTGTCCTTTACTGAACCAAGAATTCCCCAGAGAACACATTACGTAATACAATGCTGTACACCATCACACCTAGTGCCGATTCACTTACCTGTAAGTTCACTTTGTAATTATATCCTGCCTCAAGATTATCTTTCCAGGTATATATAAAATTGTCCTTATGTATCACAGTATTTCAATCCATAGGAATGGTACATTTTGCTAAATATCTTATTGTAAAATCTTTGTCAGACTTATTCTTGTACTTAGATTTGTTTCATTCGTGATTTTTATACAGGTGCAATCATGTCTTCTTCAGAATTTGGCAAATCTGAAGCTAAACTGACCATTTTCTAAGTGGAACCATTTTAATCATATTCTCATGGAAGAAAGAATATTATTAAGGAATCACTGTCTTGTTAGTAGAGTATGCCAGGGCATCAACGATAGTTGGAAACATTGGATACAGTAATTTGCATAAATTAGGCCAAATAAAAAAATATGTGTGGTTCCGGTTACCCGACCTTCCCTATTTTATACCCCCGACCCTAAACTTTTTTTTGGCAATTTTCGTATTTTTTCCAGAATTTCCCCCGATTTCCATCAATGGCTCCAGTTTAAGTTTTAGTTTAAGCAATGAGGGCCTCCTTGCAAAACATATTGCAAGTGTTTAATAGTGTTAAATCCAAAGCAAGCTAGCATGTAGGTGTCCCCTACCAATATTGACCAGTATATTATCACACCACATCTAAATGCCATTTGCAAAGCAGTGATAGGTATTATTTAGAAAAAATTAACAAAATCATTTTGTTAAAAAAAAAAAAAAAAAAAAAATCCCTACCTACCTACCCTTTTTGGAAGTGTAACCGGAACCACACATATTTTTTTTGTTTGGCCTTATCCCACGTTTCCAACTATCGTTGATGTCCCTGGCATACTCTACTAACTAGACAGTGATTCCTTATATTTCCATTTCATTGTGAAATAAAATTGTAAATTTAGATTTTAAAAAATGTATGACTAATAGATATAAATTACACGAGGCCTCACATGTCAATTTCAATAGTCCCCTCCCACTGACGTCAAAGACAGCCGCACGAGAATTACATGCATATTAGGCCTACTTAGAGTCATACACAAAGACAGCTGCATGAGAATTACATGCATATTAGGCCTTCTTAGATCCTAACCTTTGGTTTGGCGAAATTTACAAATAAGAATGATCAAGAAATCAACTCAACTAACTTTCAAAGAGTTATCACAGAGAAAACAAATAGAAATGGAAATATATATTTACATACACATGTACATTGTGCAAAATAAGCACACAGTTGTATATTACATCATCAACAAAATTAGACCTTACACTGTGACTCCGCAGCACAGATTGCTAGAACCCTTGGCTTTATAAATAAAACATGGCTGGAGTAATGTTTCCTGTAATGTAACATTTAACAGGTGATACAGAGAATTTTCAGGTTGGAAAGAAACAGTTAAAATTTTACTATTTATTAAATGTGAATTATCAGTTTAAGTCTTATAAGACTTAGCTTTCTTTGTTAATCAACTTCTAAGGAGGGTTTATTTTACACAGTAATGAATATTATTCATGGCTAGCTATGTCTACATTTTAATCACCACAGACGGTAATGTAATCTTATAAAGTAATGCTATGCTTTTTGTAAATGTCCTGATTTAAGTATTACATTTATTTTTGTCACTCTGTGAGAAATTCCCTACATTCAGATCTGAAGGTTTTTTGGGACTTGGCATAAGTAATTGTTCCAAAATGTTTTCAATGTCTAAAAAATATATATCCCCAGGTACTTGAGGTTATAAATTACATAATATATGATGTCAAGTGTAAACAAACCTCAAAGTAATTATAACATTTTGATATAGCATTTATATTTTCTGTCAGGTGACAGCAGTAAATCGAGCTGGAGAAGGACAAGCAACGGAAAAAAAACCTGAAAATGGCCTCATATATGATCAAGGGGGCATCATTACCATGGTGACTTTTACAGAACCCAAGAGGATAGACTTTTATACCATAATATTGAACTGGAAACCCATACAGGGGGCTGAGGGCTACAAGATTACATACAATGATGCAATGAAAGTTCCTGTGACAGTTGATGTTAAGGGCCAAAAAGACTCTGCGAAAAGTAAATAAAGCTTTAATACATGTACATGGGATATATATTTACAGCATTTAAAGCAGAGTCTGAGTGGACATATAGACTTTTGAAAGATAAATAACATTTTAATTTATTAAATTCAAAAAAAAACAGTTGAGTCACTAGTACTGTAACTGAATATTAAGACATACAATATATGTAATAATCTGTTGTTGTTTTTTTTTTTTAAAATACATTTTCATGTGTTCAGCTGTTTGACTGAATTGGGTGTATTGTTACTTTCAGAGAGTTTGGGAAAGGAAGAAAAGAATCTTTTTTACATTAATTTTTTAAAAATTTCAGTCACTAATCTGTGTCCGGGATCGCAGTATGAATTCCAAATGGCTGCCTACAATAACCATGGCGATGGACCGTCAAGACCTATCATGATAATAACGAATGGTAAAGTATCAAATATACTGTTCTTATGACAGCCATGTTTCACTGCAGTCACATTATTCTACAAGTTAATACAAATTTAAGTGAAAGTCATATATTATAGCAGTCAAACTTCATTTGTCTTATGATAAATTTGAAATACTTTAATAGGACTGTGAATTTGTGATTAGTGCTATATAGATATTTACATGCTGTACATGTATGTATTCACACTGTGAAGTACAGCTGTACATTGTGACAATATACATGTACATCAGAATCAGCATAGACATTTTTTTTATTGCTGTCAGAGTAAAATTAAAGAGAAAAAAAATGCAATCTCAGGAAAATACATGTACATGTATTTTAAACAATGTTGTGACATGATATGCAATAAATACTATTGTTGCTTACATTGTGGATGTCATGTTGAACTAGAGACTGTCCATTTGTGGTGAAATATAGAATAAATACACTGTGAGCAAATGATTTACATGTATCATGTAATAATTGCTCTATTGTAGGGACCGCTCCAAATTTGCAGATTTCTAATGCTACAATGGAAGATAATACAGTCTTTGTTATAAGCTGGAAACCTGTACATATGAAACAGAAGACGTCTATAGTGAGTAAACTATTTATATGTTTTATATATTTATTTATTTATTTATATATCTATATGTTATCACCTGAGTCAGATGAACTACATGGATCCATTCAAATTCATAAACTTTTGAACATTTTCAACTTCTTCTCTGAAATATTTAGCCAATTTCAATCTATTTTTAGCTCACCTGAGCCAAAGGTTCAAGTGAGGTTTTCTGATCAAATTTGCCATGATTGTTCTTTGTCAGAGATGTAGTTGTAGTTGTAAACTTTTCACATTTCTTTCTACTTTTTCTTAAGACCTCTAGGCCAATTTCAACCAAACTTGCCACAAGCATCCATTGATAAAGGGAATGCAAGTTGTTCATATGAAGGGCAACACTCTCTTTTAAGGGGGTATAATTAAGAAATAGTGAAAATTTGGTGGGATCTTTAAAAATTTTCTTCTCAGGAAAAGATGAAACTTATATAAAGGCTTTCTGACATAGTGTATATTCAAATTTGTTTTGAATCATGGCCCCAGGGTTGGAGTGTGACCACAATAAGTAATCAAAGTTTTCTATTGAAGTAAACATAAAAAAAAAACATACACACAAGAAAATTACATCTTCTCTTCAAGTATCCTCAGGTAATGCTGATTCAAATTTGTTCAAACTAGGGCCTATGGGATTAGGATGGGGCCACAATGATAGATGAAATTTTTACCTGGGAATATATGTTTAAAATTCTTCTCAAAAATGGCTTAGTCATAATGAGTCATATTAATATCCAAGCTTCGTCTAGTAGTGCAGATTCAATTTTGTTTATTACTTGGTCCCCAAGGGTAGGGTGGATCCACAATAGGAGATCAGGAGATAGGAGAACTTTTACCTGGCAATATATAGGAAAAAAATTTAAAATCTTTTACGTAAGAACAGCATTGTTATTATCAGTCATAATAAAGAGCAACCATCCTCAGGTAGTACAGAATCAAGTTTGTTCAAATCATTTGCATCAGGGGTAGGGTGAGGCCACAGTAGAGGATACATTTTACATGGGATTATGCTTGTATATCAGGTTTATAGCAACAAAAAAAAGCTTCTCAAGAACAGCAAAGTCATGATTATTAAATTTAAGCATTCTCAGGTAGTGCAGATTCAAGTTTGCTCAAATTATGGCTCCTGGGGGGTAGGAAGGGACTACCGTAGGGATCAAAGTTTAACATAAGAATATATAGGAAGAAATATTTAAGTAACATAAGTGATAGTGATATTGATATACCAGCATTTTGGGATAGTGCGTATTGAATTTTGTTCAAATCATGGGAATAGGGTGGGGGCTAAGGAAAAAAAATCTCAAGAACCCCAGGGATCATGATGATTTTTAGTGCAGATCAAGAGATTTAAATTATACCTCAAGAAAAATATAAAAAGTTTGTTTTGGAATATAAAGAAAAATAAAAACTTTTTCTCAAGAACAATTTGGACATGATTAATCATATTTAATATATGAAAGTATCATCAGGTATTGTAGATTTGAGTTCATTCAAACCATGACCCCAATAGGAAGGGTAGGGCCACAATATAGGATCAATTTTTTTTTATAGGATTAATATTGAGGGAATAAAAACCTTTATTTTTTAAATCTTGTTCTCAAGATAAGCAGTGTCATTGTGAGTGTTGTGGCACTTGCAATTGGCCCTTGTAGAATGAGCAGCTCTCTTATTTTGCAACACTATTGAATTTTATGCAATATCTTCAAAAGTCTTTTTGGACATGTGGCAGGCCAGATTCTGCATGAATATACCGGTAATGTGCAGATTGCTACCAAAATTGTGAAATTCTTGTTCTAATCTTTTTGTCCCAGGATGAGGTTAATATAGTCATAATTTAATCAAAAAACATTACACCTTTGAAAATCTTCTTTCCTTAAGGACATGTAGCAAGCAATCAGTTTGTATGATGGTAATAACAGCTAGCTCTTTACCAAAATTGTGTGAGATTCATGTCCCCTGGGTCTCGAGTTCAGGTCCCAGGATTAAGGCTAAGTTGGCCACATACTGCAAATACATGTACATTGCAAGAATATGCTAAAAATGATCATCTTGACTAATGGCCATCTAGCAAGCCAAGTTTTTGAGTGAGTATAATTAACAACATCTTTGCTAGCTAAGGGTAACTCTCTGCTTCTCTTTTCAAGTGGACATTGTGGCCTCTTGTTTAATTTTAGCTTAAAATCAAAAAAAACATCTTTCTTCCCCACTAGATACCTCAGGTGAAAAGAGAAGAGAAGAGGATTGTCATTCTTGGCTAGCAAAGATGAATTAACACTTATCCCCCTAAGTAGAGTGTTGGCATTAAAAGAAGAATCACTAACTTGTACTTTCAGAATTACACAGTATTTTATGACTATGACCCCCGTGACCTTGAACTTGGCACTGATCCAAGGAAAAAAGCTAAGAGCATAACAGTAACCAATAAAAACAGTGCTACATTGAGGGGACTGAGAGCTTGTGAGTCGTACACAGCTAGGCTCGCCATGACCTCCCCAGGGTTATGTCCCTTGTCGGACATCGTAACATTCGTCACTGGAGAAGGTACAAGTTTTATATAAAAGAAGGTAGAACACAACTAGTTAAATAGTAATAGACAGAAGGCATCAAGGTTGATGTGCAGGTTTGGTTTTTGAAATTTTATGATATTACATTATATATAATATAGAAAAAAGAGCAGTTTTGTTTAAAATAATTGAAGAATGAAAAAAAAATAAGTTTATTAAAAAATGATATCTCGGATTGAATCAAACTGCAGATATCAATGTTTATGAAGCAATCTGTTCAAACAATGAACACTTGTGCAGACAATAAGAACAAATTAATTGAAATTTAATTCTGCACCTTTGACAGACCTTCGGTTAGCTTTAACGACTTGTAATTCTACCTTGAACTCATGATTCAAAAAAGTTTAGGGAGGGAGCAGTCAGTAGTGTTAATTATTAATTAGAGTTAATAGTGAATGAATTTCACAGGATATTTCTGAGAAATAAAAGAAAACATTTCTGTATGGAATTAGACTTAACAGAACTTGTTTTCTACATTTTCAAATGTCATACAAATGTACCTTTACAAATATTTTTAAAAACTACAAATAAACAATTATCACATGAGAATGCATATTTATCAGATTAATATTTCAAAGGAAGTACATTTTTTATTTCAAAAGAACAAAAAGTATTGGATCATTCATAATTGAAAATGTGTTCCCTGAAAATTATAAATTTCCTGCTTTTCTAAATTAGTTTTTCTTTCTCTAAAAGTGTGTTTCCAATAATGGAACTCTTGTTCTTTTTAATTTTTCAGATGAAAGTGCCCAGCCTGAGAATGTGGAATTTCAGTTTCTTAAGAACAGTAAGACAACAGGAAACCTAACGTGGGAAGCTGCTTGTTTTGAGGAATTTATAGATGTGGTTTGTTTTTTATCTAATATCCTTTTGTAATGTTTGTATTACATTCATTGATTCTGTATACTTTGTAAACTTAAAGGGTTTTTATCACGTCTCAAAATTTTTTGATATGACAAAGTTCACATGTTATTTAAATCATATATTTAAAATTCTTTGCTAGGAAGTTAATATTTTTGATGTTTCAGCGATTCAAAGTTTGAATTTCTCAATATGCTTATGTTGATCGCCGATGTTACGCGCCATTGCTCTGACGTCATAGGTGTCAATTCTGGTCAAGTGAAGTACTTATTGTGTATACAAAAGGGTTCATTAATTGCGTCTGTTAAACCTGTTAGAAAATAATTAAGTGATAATTGGATAATTGACAGCTAGGAAGATATAATTTGTGGCTTTAGAATGCACAAATGTGCACAAGAAAGGTTTTAGTAAGAATTTTTCCCCACATTTCCTGGACTTGGTCGAGAGATGAAAGGGAGGCCTTTTTCTGCAAACGTGACGGTGTTTATCTCCATTCAGAACAATTGTTTATGCCCAATCACGAATTTTCTGTACCATAAAATATTATATTTAAATATATATGAAGTTAAACTTTAGTAATTTGTTCTATTCAGTAGAAGTCCCGAGTTGTCAACAGCTTCGTCTTCGGTGACCTCTCCCTGGTTTTCTGGTTTTTTCTCTCTGCTAGAGGTTCATACATAAAAGATTGACGGTCCATAATCAAAGGAATATGGCCGATGTCAAAATTTTAACCAGCCATATTGTGTTGTCTATTTATTTAACATAAAAATCTATTCAGTATATTTTTTCTTAGGATGACCTTTACGAGTTCTAGTTGACCATTGACACCTATGATGTTTCAGTACCACGTGACCTATCTAATTAGTGGAGATTTTTACTTCGAAGACCCTATGTTACGGGCGTTTTATCGTCTAATTACGACCGTTTTCAGAATTATTTCATTATTGATTACATGATTCAAGAATATAAAAGTGTTTCATTTTAAAGAAATTAAGATACGTGATAAAAACCCTTTAAGGACCCGAATTAATTTTTTTGTTGTTGTTAATTCTTTGTAAAGAATTAGATGGTACAAAGAGAAAAATCAATGGCACTGTTCAGTTTTGTTAATGGACAAGGAAAAATTAAATATATTTTTTTTGCATAAGCTTTGGAATTTGTTTGCTTCACAATTCAGGGATATGTTGTCATAGTGACGGAAGACCTAACCAATAAAACGTTCCGATCAGAGAAGTATAATGCAACTAAAGAACTGAAGTTGTACCAGATTTTGGGACCACTGCGGAGAGGAGCCACTTATACTGTGGTTATTCAGAGGGACGTCCCTGGAGTCCATGATCCCCGACCCTCAGATCCATACAAGATCAGAGTTGGTAGGTCACACAAACACACACTTACATACAAGATCAGAGTTGGTAGGTCACACACACACAAACACACCCTTACATACAAGATCAGAATTGGTAGGTCACACACACACAAACACACCCTCACACACAAACACACATACATGCAAAATCAGAGTCGGTAGGTCACACACACACACAAAATTTCTTCCTAAAATGTATTACTTGGGTACAAATATTTCAAGAGAAGTTCAACTTACTGACACATTTTAGGGTATTTTCCACACAGTATCGTAATCTGTATTAAAACAAACCCATCACACATTTTTCCCAAGCAAGATTCAGAGAAAAACTCCTCTTATAGATATCCGCAAAAGATCTCAATTTAATCATCATTAGTCTCCTGCACCAGCCTCTTTAACTGGCACATAATAAATTCTACCTCTTAACACGGTTATAAAACAGAGAACATTTAGAAAATAGATTTTTCATAAGCATTTTGAACACGCTGAATTTCAATCAAGGGTAAGTTAAGTATTTTGAAATATTCTGACATATAAGATTTAAAAATTAAATTAAAATGTGTGAATTCTGCAATAGCATTCTGACATTTTACATGTTTGAAATGAGTTGTAAAGTTTATGACACTCTCACCGTTATAACAGCTTAAGTTTGCAGTGACGACATTATTTTCCATAATGATGTCGTATAATGGTAGTTCAGAGAAGTGCACTGTGATATTCTATGGGAAGCCTTAACCTACCTGCATATGCGATAAGGTTAACTTTTTGACAGTATTGCTGATCCCTTTATATTATACATGTATGTTACAGAGCCATATGCCAGTCCACTAAACCTTGTGGGAACTCCCCAGTCTGATGAAGGCAAAATAACCTTGACGTGGACTCCAAACACAGTGGATGCTCCAAAACCTGCAAACTTAAAGGTACATATTTTTAGCTCTTCTGAGCCAAAGGCTCAAAGAGCTAATTCTATGGCCATTTGTGCGGTGTGTTTAAATTTTTAGAATATGGGACATAACTCAAGAACCCCTTGGCCAATTATTGTCAAATTTGTAACAGGGTATCCTTGGCCCAAGGGCTCCCTTGGATACTAAAACTAGGGTTGTGACCTTTAAACAAGGGGAGATAATTAGGAAAATAGAAACAAAAGTACTGGTTGCTAAAAAATCTTCTCAAGAACCACTGGGCAGATTATCACCAAACTTACACAAAAGGATGAGGATATGTTGTAGATTAAAAATTGTTCAAGGTATCACCCTGGGGCAAAGGGCGTGGTCTCAAGGTCACTTCAAAGTTGACCAAAAATTACATTTTATTAAAATGTTGATATTTTGCTTACTGTAAGAGCTAGGATCAACAAATCTTGTCAGTTGATGCATCTAAGGACCTCATATCGTTGACTCTAAAGTAGGTCACGGTGACCTACTTTTTAAATTTTGCGGCCAATGATGTAGAAGCATATTTTGAACAATTTAAGGCCTATGATCATCAAACTTTGTCAGTTGATGTATCTTGGGTCCTCGGAATATGTCGAGTAAAAAGTAGGTCACCTTGACTTTTGAATTTTATGGCTAATCTTTTTCGGAACAATTAAGGTCATTAATCCGAATACTGAGAGGTTTAGAATCATGAAATCCTGCAAGATGATGCATCTTGGGGCCATAAAACATGTATTAAAAAGTAGGTCACAGTGACCTACATTTAAAACTTTGCAGGCATTTGATTTCAAAACGTTTTAGAGGCAAAGTTTGGACATTTTAAGGCCTATGATCATAAAACTTCGTAAGTTGATGCATCTTGGGTCCTCAAAAAATGTCAACTGAAAAGTAGGTCGTGACCTATGACTATAATTAAATATTTCGGGTACTATTTGGCTTAGAATCATCAAACTTTGTCAGTTGATGCAACTTGGGTCTTTGGAGTAGGTCGACTGAAAAGTAGGTCACCATGACCTACTGTTGAAAATATATGGCTTTAATTAAATATTTCGGGTACTATTTGGCTTAGAATCATCAAAATTTGTCAGTTGATGCATCTTTGGTCCTTGGAGTAGGTCGACTGAAAAGTAGGTCACCGTGACCTATTTTTCAATTTATATGACTATACTTAAATATTTCGGGTACTTTTTGGCTTAGAATCATCAAACTTTGTCAGTTGATGCATCTTGGGTCTTTGGAGTAAGTCGACTGAAAAGTAGGTCACCATGACCTACTTTTGAAAATTTATGGCTTTAATTAAATATTTCAGGTAATAATTGGCTTAGAATCATTATACTTTGTCAGTTGATGCATCTTGGGTCCCTGGAGTACGACAACTAAAAAGTAGGTCACCGTGACCTACTTTTGAAATAATATGGTTACAATTTTAAAAATATTTTAGGCATTAATTGGCTTAGAATCTTCAAGCTTAGTTGAGGCATCATGGGTCCTCAGAGAATGACAAGTGAAAAGTAGGTCACAATGACCTCTTCTCAGGTACTAATTGGCTTAGAATCATCTTGGGTTCTCGGAGTGTTTCATCTAAAATGTAGGTCATGATGACCTACTTTTGGAATTTCAAGGCTTTATCTAAATATACAGGATACTTAGAGGCTTCAAATAGAAGTGATAGGTTGTACAGTTTATCAGAAGAGCGATTCAAGGCCCTTGGGCCTCTTGTCTGGATGAGTGACTAGTTTAAAGTTTATAGATAAGTCCATTCCCAAGTAACTGCAAGCCTTATCAGACCAAAATTGCATTAATGTTGCACTTACGGATTCACACCACTAGATTATTAGTTTAGTGTGGGACTTTGTCTTACTTAAAGACAACATTCATTGAGGTGAGCTCTGATTATCTCTGTTTTGGACAGTTCAGTACTGATTACTACATTGTAACCATTCCATCCTTTAAGTGCAGTTAAATGTTGCTAAAACTCTCAAAGGTTATTTTTAATGCCCTACAGCTGATCAGTGACACACATATACATGTTTGTAATGGTATGAATTTGAGGCTCTTTATTTTGTATAATTAAACATGGGGAAAAGAGGTCCTTCTATCAGAATTTGCTTGAACATTATTTTTAGAGTCGTAGAATTTTTAAAAGCTCAAAACATGTACATCAGAGATTTCTTTACTCTGTTTATGACTGGTAAGCATCTGACAACCATAACTAATGGCCATTGGCTTGTAGGAACATTGTAAATAATTGCACCAGGAGACAGTGAATAGTTTTGATTGGGCTGTCATTGATTTGTAAATTTGTGGACAGCGACGTCATCCTATTTCATCCTTAGTAAAAATTTGTAGTTCATTAATTACCTAATTTTGTGGCCTGGCTCTGACTCAACCATGAAAACAACAAAAATTGGTAATCCATGAAAAATAAAGAAACTACAGCACATAGCAAAATATGAGCTACATTTACTACTATTTGACTATGCACAGGGATATGAGGTGGATTATCTATACTTTCTCATGTACAGGGATATGAGGTGGATTATCTATATTTTCTCATGTACAGGGATGTGAGGTGGTTTATCTATATTTCCTTATGTACAGGGATATGAGGTGGATTATCTTATTTTCTCATGCAAGGGATTTGAGGTGGATTTTCTATATTTCTTTATATACAGGGATATGAGGTGGGTTATCTAGTACTTACTCAGTATATTTCTTTATATACAGGGATATGAGGTGGGTTATCTAGTACTTACTCAGTATATTTCCTTATATACAGGGATATGAGGTGGGTTATCTAGTACATACTCAGTATATTTCCTTATATACAGGGATATGAGGTGGATTATCTATATTTTCTTTTATACAGGAATATGAGTTATTATCTAGTACTTACTCTGTTACTCAGTATATTTCCTTATGTACAGGGATATGAGGTATTAACTACATGTAGTACTTACTCTGTACTTATATATAGGGATACGAGGTACAATGGATGAGGAGCCATGAGGGAGGCAGTCACTCCAAGACTGAGTTCCAGACCCTGGGGATCCTGGGAGGTACTGTCACAGACTTCACAGTCCAGAAGTTCTCTGACTACCATTTCCGTGTCCGTGTGGTGACCAAGGATGGCTATAGGGGGGCGTGGAGCCAGGAGTATCATATGACGTCTTCAGGTATGGATGGCATCCTGATCACTTCAGGAGATACAGGACTGTTCTATTTAAGACAAAAACAATGGGATGTCTATTGTTATACAAACTTGAAATCTTTGATTTTCCTCTATTGAATTGAATTTATGTTGATTTTTAGAGGTGATAGCAGAGCCCTATAGCTCCACGGTTACAATGAATAAAACAAATCTCATCGCCATCATCGTCTCCATTGCCACTGTTGTCATCGCTCTTGTCGTCGTTCTTGCCTTCTTCATCATCAGGCATCGTCGACTTCAGAGAAGTTTTATGGCATTTGCTAACAGTCACTATGATTCCAGATCGGGGACTACAACATTTACTGCCAATGATATTGGTAAAAACAATTTTAACTTATAAAATCATAACAGTATATATTAATATTCCAAACCGTGTTAACTTGAATATTTCTCAATTTCTGATTTTTTTTTTCATCCTCAAAAACATCATACAGAAAAATCACAGTTTCCTCCTATCAGTACATGTATTAAAATTCAAGCAAATAAACACAAATCTTGTAAAATACATCAGAAAATATAGAGTATAAAGATATTCAATTTCTTTTTTAAATGTTTCTCAGTTTTGTTGTTTCATTTTATACACGTACACATCATCCTTTTTTTTTTCAAAAGTATTTCAGTCGTTTTTATTTTACAGTTCAAGCAGGAATATTTTGGCATTTATTTATTAAGTTATTAGCTGTCTTTCAAAATCAATATGTATTAAAGAATTATTTTTTGAATTTAGAACATTTTGTATATTGTATGTTCTATTTTTAGGTGAAGAAGAGGATTCCCCTATGATACGGGGATTTTCCGATGATGAGCCCCTTGTGATAGCATAATGGATTGAGACAGACAGCTTGTGCCATGTATGATTTCAGATATCGGAGATCATACTTATTGTGATATACTGTCTTTGTCAGACTTTGTCACCGGGTGACTTTTCTGTGATTTAATCAATACATATTACAGATCTAATACTATCAAGGTGTATGTTTTTGGAAAACTTAGTAATTTCATTTATTTTGGAAAAATATTCTGCTATTTACATGTATTTTATACATGTAATATGTGGGTTTTTTAAAAAAATTTTATAACACTTCATTTTTTCTGTGTTAAGTCCTTTACCATTATTATATGTATGGACTTGTATATCTAATTATCTGTGGGAACACATAACTTGTTATTAAGAGTGTTGATTTCATGGCAGTTACATCTATTTCATCTCATATTTATGTTTACACATCATTAATTTGTTTATTGAAAGATTATTGAATCTTCATAAAGGTCTGGCTTTGGGATCATGAAACATCTTACTCTCTAGTTAAATCCTTAATGATCTACTAAAATGTTGTAGAAGTCAAGCAGACAAAAATTGAAAATATTTTTCAGTATTGCTTCATAAAAGTTGTTGTCTGCAAATTTAGAGATTAATTCAGTAATTTGTAATCATTTTACAGGGGATTACAAATTTGACTTAAATCTACATGTGTTTCATGATCCTGGGACCAGATTTATAGCTAACGAAAGATTTAAAAAGACACAAGATTGATTGGTTTTCCTTCAAATGTGTTCAAGTTGTATGTGAATCTGTTGCTATTAAATTGACAAAAAAAGAAAACAAAAAAAAAATCTTCCAAATTTTACAGGACTAAAGTTTTTCAATGTAAATGTTTGTGAAATCTAGATAATGTTCTTTATAAATAATTAGATACCAAATAAGTACATGTGAGTACGTATAGGTGAAGAAGCATATCAATTAGAACTGTGTACTTCTGCTTATTAGAATTATACATTCCACATTTTATAGCCTTAAGTTTGCTCAGAATTTACTGTATAAGTGGTCTTGTTAATAGGGTTGTAGATAAAATGAATGGAGGGAGAGAGAGTAGTTTTTAATTAATGTGTACATTCTCAATGTCCTAAATAATCCTTCTTTAAAATCATTGGAGATTGTACAAGAGAAAAATATTGTACAAGAGTAAAATATTCTAATGGAGAATTTTTATATACTAGTGCATTTGTTAAAGGCTACTTTATTGAAAAGTTGCATTGTTTGATATTATTTTTTGTATAAAAATTATTGTAAAGATTTGTTAAAATCTCAGTAAACTCATTAGGAAAATGTTTCGGAGGAATATCTGATGCCAGGAAGCAGGATCTGTTATTTACGTGTGTTGGATGATACTTGATGACACTGTGTCACATTATCTGGTTTTCTGATGACACAAGCATGTAAAATGATATAAAATTTTGATGTGTTTTATTTTTATGACATGAGAAATTATCAATTTTTTTTTAAAGACATGTGAACCTTTAGTGTATTCATGAAATTATCCTGATTTCTAAATGACACAAGTGAAATAATGCCAATTGTTTTGATGATTGTGTCAACACATTGGAAATGATACTGATTTTTGAAGACATATCTAGTTATCTACTGATTTACTGAATCTCAGCTGTCTTAATTGTTTTATGTATTGTACTGTAAAAAAGTCCTACCACACTACTGTGTGTTTCTATACCTAAAATCATATTCAGAGGAAATTCTGTTGATTTGTTTTATGGCTGAAAATCTTTTATACCTCATTTTCTTTTCTAATTTTCCTTCATACACTGTCCCAGTTTTGTGTTAGATATTGCAATGTGCTCTTTTTTTAACAAGCAATTGTTAAAGTATTTTTTTTAATTTAAAATGTTTGACATCCTCATTGACTAATATAAAAGTCTGATGAATGAGTATATAAAAGTTGTATATTATTTCAAATGGTGTTACATGCAATTGTGTCCTGTTTGCTTCTCCTATTCTTGATATACTCCTGATCAAAGACTGCTTACTAAGAGAGTAAACATTGATATAAATGAGTTGTTGAGATACATGTGTATATTAACCAGAATTTTCTCTGATACAGAGTGATTCCTGAATTAATCTGATGAATCCTTCACATATTCATTCTCCCTGACTATTTCATTTCTTTCTTCTTTACAGCTCTGACCAGTGTATCCTTGTATTTACTTATATCTGGTCTGAAAATAAAATGTCGAGTTAAATTTTAAACTATACCATGCACGTATAACAAGACTTTCCATTAAAAATGATGACTGTGGTTATCTACAATTTTTTAAGGTAAAGACTTCTTAGGAGGCCACTTTTGTGTTTTGCACATTACAAGTATAGCCCCCCCCCCCCCTTTTCATTTCACACTTGTGTGGGTTCATTGGCAGTTTGTATGATTTTTTATGCTTCCTAAATTTATGTTTTTTCGTTTTTTTTTCATACATGTATTTAGTTGTTGAATGCATACAATGTTGTATTACTTACTCAAAGCTTGAGATGATTTTTTTTGCTTTATTTGTTTATTAAACATCACCAAATTTGTTTCTTTCAGATTAGAAAGTGTTTTCTGTTCACTATATTTGAAGGAAGACTTGATTTTACATTAAATCCTCTAGTTACTGTTCTTTTACACGAGAAAACAGCATTTTATCAGTGACATGCTAGATAGCGCATAGCTTCTAAATAGCACACAACTACTAGTTAGCACACAGCTACTAGTTAGAACACAATTACTAGTTAGCAAACAGCTACTAGCATACAGCTACTAGTTAGCACACAGCTACTAGATGGCATACAGCTACTAGTTAGCACACAACCTAACATTGAAAAAAGGTCTCTTGACAGACATTGTGTGTTCCAATTATTATGGCCCCCTAACCCGTACTCTTGCAAATGTCATGAAAAGTTTATCAAGGTCACAAAGCTAGTAACCCTTGTGTTTTGCTAAAGCGCTTATTGAGCGAAATATTTGATTCATAAAAGGATAGAGACTGTGAGGAAGACACTGGCAGGACAAACTGTCGGTCTGCTGTACAGGCCTGTATACTGATATATAGAGAGGATAGCACTAACCAACATTATCAACATTAAACATAATGTACTATTCAAAGCCTCAGTCACACCTCTAATGGATGAAAAAAAGGTTGTAGAAGTCAATCCGTTGATTACGTGTTGATGAAAGTCACACACCTCGCTGTTCGAGGTTCTGAACTGTTGAAGATATTGATGAATACTTGTATGACAACCAAACATGAATTCACGGTTTCAGTAACGAAAGAGTACCGGGAAAATAAATGCGCAGCGCATGAGAAACAGACAAGAGGCCCATGGGCCACATTGCTCACTAGGGTACTTTACTAGATAAAAGCAGAAATTAGTCTAGTATTGAAAAGTTTAAATACGAGGGCTGTTCGAAAAGTATTGAGACTTCAACTCCTGAGAAGAAAAAGATTCACGACAGTTCACTAGAATTTTATCAAGAAAAAATGATACAATAGTGCAAAATTTCTTTATAGCATTTATTATATTATTAGATAAATCTCGATGAAAATCTAAACCTGCATATGTCCATTCACTCGGCGCACTCCGCAGAGATAATCACACGTCAATTGTAACCTTTGAATTCCTTCAGGGTTTAATTTTTTCTCACATTGAAACTGTCAGGATGCGTTGACTGTTTTTTTTTCTCTCATCACTAGAGAATATTCTAGGAACAAAACAGGCAGAGATTTCACTGATTTTTACAGATGTTCCCTGTATATGTTTGCATTTCTATTGTAGCCTCACCCAACCCCAGTGGTTCATGATTTGAACAAGCTTGAATATGCTTAATAATTATGTTATGAAGCTTTCCTAAGTTTTATCTTCTCTGGCCAAGTGGTTCTTGACACGACAATGTAAAACAAGAGGCCCATGGGCCACATCGCTCACCTGAGCACTGTGGCTAGGAAAAAAGCAAAAATCAGTTCAGTATTCAAAAAAGCTTTAATGCAAAAGTGGTCCCGACCTACCCCTAAAAAGGGACGGGGGTGGGGGTATGATTTGAACAAAATTGAATCTACACTAACTAAAGATGCTCACATATTTCTTTGTGACTTTTTTCCTACAAGTTTGAACTTTCATTATGGTCCCACCCTACCCCCGGGGGTCATGGTTTGAACAAATCTGAATCTACACCACTTGAGGATACTTCCATATAATCATGACCAATCATAGCTTTGCTGTTCTTCATCAGAAGATTTTTAAAATTTTTTCCTATGTATTCCTATGCATAACTTTAATCATCAATTGTGGACCAATCTATCCCCATGATTTTTTTCCAACTTGAATCTACACTATCCTAGGACACTTCCGAATAGTTAATAACCAATCTTGGCTTTGCTGTTCTTGAGAGGATTTTTTCTATATATTACTATGTAAAACTTTGATTGTCCATTGTGGCCCCACCCTACCTTCGGGATCATGATTTGAACAAACTTGAATCTACACCACCTGAGGATGCTTCCATATAAATATGACCAATCATGGCTTTGCTGTTCCTGAGAAGATTTTTAAAATTTTTTCCTATATACTCCTATGTAAATTTTGATCCTCCATTGTGGCCCCACCCTACCCTCGGGGTCATGATTTGAACAAACTTGAATTTACACCACCCGAGGATGCTTCCTCATACAAAATGTAAATATGACCAATCATGACTTTGCTGTTCTTGAGAAGAAGATTTTTAAAAGATTTTTCCTATATATTCCTATGTAAATTTTGATCCTCCATTGTGGCCCCACCCTACCCCCAGGGGTCATGATTTGAAAAAAATTGAATCTACACCACTTGAGGATGCTTCCATATAAATAAATAAATAAAATCATGGTTTTGCTGTTCTTGAGAAGAAGATTTTTTAAAGATTTTTCCTATATTTCCTATGTAAAGCTTTGATTGTCCATTGTGGTCCTAACCCCATCCCAAGGGATCATGATTTGAACAAACTTGAATCTACTCTACCTGAGGATGATTCCACATGAGTTCCGTCTTTCCTGGCCCAGTGGTTCTTGAGAAAAGATTTTTAAAGATTTTTTCCTATATATTCCTCTGTAAAACTTTGATCGTCCATTGTGGCCCCACCCTACCCCCGGGGGTCATGACTTGAACAAACCTGAATCTACACTACTTGAGGATGCTTCCATATAAATATGACCAATCATGGCTTTGCTGTTCTTATGAAGATTTTTAATGATTTTTCCTATATATTCCTATGTAAAACTTTGATCGTCCATTGTGGCCCCACCCTAACCCCAAGGGTCATGATTTGAACAATCTTGAATCTACACTACCTGTGGATGATTCCACATGAGTTTCATCTTTCCTGGCCCATTGGTTCTTGAGAAGAAGATTTTTAAAAGATGCAATTAATTTTTCACTAATTTGTAATTATCTCCCCTTGGAAGAGGATGTGGCCCTTCATTTGAACAAACTTAAATCCCCTTAACCCAAGGATACTCTGTGCCAAGTTTAGTTGAAATTGGCCCTGTAGTTCTGGAGAAAATGAATTTGTGAAAAGTTTACGACAACGACGACAACAACAACGACGACAGACAACGGAAAAATTTCGATCAGAAAAGCTCACTTGAGCCTTCGGCTCAGGTGAGCTAAAAAAGATGTCATTGAATTTTCACTGATTCTAAATTATATCCTTTTGAATAGGACGTGGATTCATTTGAACAAATTAAAATTCCCTTCACCAAAGGATTCTTTGTGGCAAGGTTGAAATTGGTCCAGTGGTTCTTGAGAAGATGAAAAGTGAAAAATTTATGACACACGACAGACGCACGCCGGACACCTTCGAAAAGTTCACTTGAGCCTTCACCTCAGATTAGCTTAAAGGTTTTCAATAGTAGACAGTCATTTGTGTACAATTACGTGCGATTGGTGTCCAGAGCACATCAAGTACCGGTACATTCTTTCACGGCCGACAGCCATGACTGCTGTCACTGAGGTCCAACGGACGGTCAAGAATAGCAAAGAAGCGCATGAGCTTTTTTGCAAATGTATAGCCACCGTACTTAGGCGGACAAATTAGTTTAATGGTACCTTTCCAAGTTTTTAACAAACTTCAAACTTCAAACTGGCGACTTGTGGAAATCCAAAATATTTAAATAAAAAAAACTTTGAAGAGCTGAAATGGGGTGCCAAAGACTGGAGCCAAATACGTCGAAGGATCAGAGCTATGCATGAGGGAGATAATCCTTAATTTTGAAATAAATTTCTAAATTTACCACAGCAATTAAATATATATAACCGTATTTTGAAGCTGGTACCGTTCTTATATTCTTATATGTTCTTACATTTATATATAGTTCTTAAATGTAATGCGGAGACCGGTTCTTCGGATGAGACAGTATAAACCGGGGTTCCTTGTGGCAGTAGGTGCTGGCACGAAACAGATCCCTCACTACTCAATGGCCCTAAGTGCCGAGTATAGGTCTAAATTTGCAACCCTCCACCGGTATGTGATGGCATCTCAATATGAGTGAAAAATTCTCGAAGGGACGTTAAACCAAAAATCAACTTCCATGGAAACAGTGTATGTATCTGCCGGATGAGAAACGGGCAATAAACGAGATGAAGACTTTGAGCATTTTGTCATCCGTTTTGACGCCTGTAAGCAGTCTGGTAAGCGTCATCTGGTGACGCCAAGATCATTGCAAATGTAATGATCTGATATTTTCTGAAAATTTTCAAGCTGTGAATTTGAGTAGATTTTTCAAGTACCTTGAACCTATGGCCATAACCTTATATCCTGCATGCATCATTTTCAGAGAATCTATATATTTTAATCTTTAATCTGAAAATTGCGCAAAATTTTAAATCTCAGATCTCTTGAGATAAAGAGAAATAGTCTGGCGCCAGCTATTTTATACAATCTGATTCATTCCTCACGATAAATTAAAAACTAGGCTTTGTAATCATATAGACAACTGCTTTTTCAATGAAAATAGAACTCTGAAATGTTCATATCGTGGTACTGGTCGTCTACAGATTTACTTTGTGAAAATCATTCTTATTTACACACACGTACTATGAGGTTGTTATTTAAAAGATCAAAGACGGATCAAAAATGAAAATGGCAGCCGTACCGGTAAAGTGCATTCTACCTGCATGTTTAGAGGACGATGAATTTTGGGGCCTTATACAGTGAAGATGGTACAGGGGTTTCAAAAGTCTCGTTAAATATCGTCATTTCGCAAATTCTATGGTTGTAATAATGACTTTTTAAGGAAATAAACCTTATCGTTGGGGTCGAATGTCGACTGATATTTTTCGAGCCTGTTATACCATTATTTTAAATATGACTACGGATAACTGCGTGTACCTGATCATTACAGAGGGTTCAAGGCGGATGTGACCAATCGACATGGGACGCTTACTCCTCCTAGGCACCTGATCCCTTCTGTCTTGTTTCCAAGAGTTCTTGGTTTTGCCCTGTTTACGATTTGTACTGCTTATTATAGGAATTAAGAGATTAATCAATCTCTATTTTATTCAAT